CTGTATAGCCTAAAGCCAATTAAAAAAATAAAATTAAAATTTAATACCCACCAAATAAATCCCCGATCGTATTTTCCTCCAATTAACAATTAATCCAATTGATCAATCAATCATATCTCTAGCTATTTGTTGAGAAACAATGACTAAGTTGGTTTGAACTAATAAAGCCAACCTATCTGCTACTTAAAAGGTTTATCTTATCTTCATTCATAAAAGTATATATCTTTATTCTCTCTCCTTGTCTGCATTTTTATTTTGCAACTGGCTAAATTGAGTGTTATCTGCAAATTTAAGGTTCTATTTAAATTATATCTCTCTGAAAAGGATCATTTCTTTCTTTCTTTATTTCAGGAGTCTCTCATACTATAATTATAAGGATACTGATACTTACCACGAGTTTGTTTATTTATTTGTCTGTTCGTCTATTCACCAATTCATCATGTTTAGATCCACTTCTGTAGTACGTACCCGTTCTTCTATCTCTACTATCTTAAAGAGATCCTATTCTTCTCATAAAGAATTGAAATTCGGTGTAGAAGGTAGAGCTGCTCTACTAAGAGGTGTAGAAATTTTGGCTGAAGCTGTTTCCGCCACTTTAGGTCCAAAAGGTAGAAACGTATTGATCGAACAACCTTTTGGTGCTCCAAAAATTACTAAAGACGGTGTAACAGTAGCTAAATCCATTGTTCTAGAAGATAAATTCGAAAATATGGGCGCTAAATTATTACAAGAAGTTGCCTCAAAGACAAACGAAGCTGCTGGTGATGGTACTACTTCCGCTACAGTTTTGGGTAGAGCAATCTTTAGCGAATCTGTTAAAAACGTCGCTGCTGGTTGTAACCCAATGGATTTGAGAAGAGGTTCTCAAGCTGCTGTAGAAAAAGTCATTCAATTCTTGAGTGCTAACAAAAAGGAAATTACCACTTCTGAAGAAATTGCCCAAGTTGCCACTATCTCAGCTAATGGTGACGCTCATGTAGGTAAGTTATTGGCCTCTGCCATGGAAAAAGTCGGTAAAGAAGGTGTAATCACCATTAGAGAAGGTAGAACCTTAGAAGACGAATTGGAAGTCACTGAAGGTATGAAATTCGATCGTGGTTTCATTTCTCCTTACTTTATCACTGATCCAAAATCTGGTAAAGTAGAATTCGAAAAACCTTTGATCTTATTAAGCGAAAAGAAAATTTCCTCCATTCAAGATATTCTACCTTCTTTGGAAATCTCAAATCAAACTAGAAGACCTTTATTGATTGTGGCAGAAGATATCGATGGCGAAGCTTTGGCTGCCTGTATATTAAACAAATTGAGAGGCCAAGTTAAAGTTTGTGCAGTTAAAGCCCCAGGTTTTGGTGATAACAGAAAAAACACTTTAGGCGATATTGCAATTTTAACTGGCGGTACCGTCTTTACTGAAGAACTAGATTTGAAACCAGAAAATGCTACCGTAGAAAACTTGGGCTCCTGTGATTCTATAACTATTACCAAGGAAGATACCGTCATCTTAAATGGTAACGGTCCTAAATCAAACATTGAAACTAGAATTGAACAAATTAAAAACTCAATTGATATGACTACTACTAACTCCTACGAAAAGGAAAAATTACAAGAACGTTTAGCTAAATTGAGTGGTGGTGTTGCTGTTATTAGAGTTGGTGGTTCATCTGAAGTAGAAGTAGGTGAAAAGAAAGACCGTTATGATGATGCTCTGAACGCTACAAGGGCTGCTGTTGAAGAAGGTATTTTGCCAGGTGGTGGTACTGCTCTAGTCAAAGCTTCAAGAGTCTTGGATGATGTGAAAGTTGAAAACTTTGACCAAAAATTAGGTGTTGACATCATTAGAAAGGCAATCACTAGACCAGCAAAACAAATTATTGAAAATGCTGGTGAAGAAGGTTCTGTAATTGTTGGTAAATTAATTGATGAATTTGGTGAAGATTTCGCTAAGGGTTATGATTCTTCAAAGGGTCAATACACTGATATGTTAGCTGCTGGTATCATCGATCCATTTAAAGTCGTCAGAACAGGTTTAACTGATGCTTCTGGTGTCGCTTCATTATTGGCTACAACTGAAGTTGCCATTGTAGATTCTCCACAACCACCTGCTGCCGGAGGTGCTCCACAAGGTATGCCAGGTATGCCAGGTATGATGTAAACAGAATAACATATAACTTCTGTATATTGGATTAAATAGCCAAGTCATCAAAAGCTTGTAAATAAATAATTTTGCAAATATCATTTTTAAGGGGTACTAAATACTGGGAATCGAAGGTTTGACCTTTTCTAGTAGTGTGTATCTTTCCTCTCATTAATCAACTTGAAATCATTTATACCAGAAAAAGATTAACTTCGTTTAGTTCTTGACACTCGACTAACAGATTGATTAAGAAAAGGTATAAGATATACAGCTCCATTGAAAACTCAAAAAAATGGGGCGAGCTGGGAATTGAACCCAGGGCCTCTCGCATATTTGAATGATTTATATCCCGAGTGTAACTCAGAATTCGCCCAAAGCGAGAATCATACCACTAGACCACACGCCCATATTAATTATTAGAATATTTTAATATGTTCGATAAGATCAGTCTTTCGTTTATTGGTGTATTATTTCAAGGTTACATCGTACGAACCTTGATAATGTCGGGATGTAATTCGTTACAATAAATGGTGTCATATTATCAAGATTGCTATTTAAAGAGATCATTGTATGTTCAGATGTTAACTTAATATCTGAGTGATTCATTTGGTGATTTATATCTAAGATGATTTTTGAAGTAATAGTAATATTTATTTATTTCTCCGTACTGTCTTATAAATGAACTAAATAAATATATAATAATAAATTGGACAAATGATATTTTGATATTCCAAAATATCATGTCCTTTTTATATGGTTAGATCCAATTTCATAATCTTAGTATTATTAATTAATTATCAATAATTCCTTTGCACTTCACTACCGCTGATACAATTGATCGTTGTCAATTCCTTGGTTATAGTTTCTTTTTATAATTACTTTTTATAATTACTAATTGTTATTACTAATCATAACTACTCATTATGATTGCTGATCATCATTACTAATCATAAGTACGTATTGTAATTTCTAATTGTATCCTGATATTAATAATCATATTAATAATCCATTGATTTAGTAATATTGGAACATATATTGTCACCGCGGCAATTGTCAAACATTGCGTCACGACAATATCATGTGTGCCTACCACTATATTACCTATATTTTAGGTCACAACATACCACCCATTATAAATTTGTCTAAACCATCCAAACATTAGTTAGATCGTTAAATCTTTTAGCTGGCAATGCCTTAGTTAATATGTCAGCGATGTTGTTGTCTGTATTCACATACTCTAGTTTAAGATGTGAATATTTGACTTCATCTCTGATTTTCATTGATCTGGCGCCAAAATATTTATTTCTTAATTTTGTTTCATCTTGACTATTTATGATTGATATAGCTGGTGCACTGTCTGTAATTAATTTGTTTTTAACTTGATTGCCAGTTATTGTTTCCATTAGCATCTTAATACTATTGAGTAAAGGTATTACCATACTAATTGCATATAGTTCGGATTCTGTAGACGAGATACATGTTAGAGTGGCTTTCGTGGATCTTGCAGTAATGATTTTGTTATTTACTAGAATGAAATATCCAACCTGTGACTTATAGCCAGGTTGATTTGCAAATGCCGCATCTGTTATGGCAGTCACTCTTTGAGTATTTCTTTCTTTGGCTTTGGGCCAAATTAACCTTTTATTTCTAGTATCCCAAATATATTGGATTAATTGATAAGTAAGTGATAGCACTTGGTTGCTCGGGTATAGGGTGTGTTGAGCTAATATATTAATATAATATAGTAGATCATATCTATACTTGTATCCTAGGTAAGAAGCTAGTCCAACTAGTTTCTGCATCAACTTTACTTTCCTTTTATATTCTGCTTCAGACATATCCAATTTGGAATCAGATAATATTATTCCGGGTTGTCCCGGTGCTTTCATTCTTCTCTTCTCGCTGTTTAATGTAACACCTAAGGATGGGATTTTTTGTTCCAAGGATTTTTCCATACCAAAAGATAAACTTTTAGATCTCCTGTATGTTATTTCCAATCCTAGAATGTCATAGTCCCTTGATTCTGCCTTCTCGATTTTCCCATCGTTTACTACTTTTGTTTCGTATCGTAACTTTAATAATTGTACCAGATCCATACATTTCTTATGTTTTTTACCAAACACAATTATATCATCAACAAATAAACATACAATTAAATCTTCATTCTTAAATGCGCATGGCCATCCTCTTATGTTGGACATACCACAATCTTCAGTTAGGTATTTCTTGATATTTTCATACCAGTTCGCACCACTTTGTTTTAAACCGTATAATGATTTTTCTAATTTGAATATCTTATTCTTATGGCCTAAGTGTGGAGGTGTCCTTATATATAGTTCTTCCTTGAGGTCTGCATAAAGGTAGGCTGATGATATATCTAGTTGCACAATGAACATGTCATTATCTAAAGCAATAGCCATACATGTCATCAGTGCTTCATGATGTATTGTATTAGCGATTAGGCTATCATCGTAAGTACCAGCATTTTGTTGGTCACCTCTAGCAACGAATCTACATTTATGAGTTCCGTCTCGTTTTGTAGTGAAAATGATCATGGAATTGATTATTTTCTTTGGGTTAACCTCCTTAACATCATATATACGGGAATTGTCCCATGTATTATGTTTCATTAATTGGTCTAGTTCCTTCATATACGCTTTTCTGTATAATTCCTTTTCTCTCACATTTTGATTCGAACTTATTGCGTCTCTATATGACATTGACGTGTTACCAACAGATGGAGGGTTGTTCACAGCGTGTTTTACCGAGTTTATGTAGTGGATTCTTCTTCTTTGTTTTGGTGGGAACTTTATACTTGACATATTGTTCTTTTCCCAGTAAGGTAAGTGGTCCTTGTCATTGTTTTCATCGTTTTCTCTATTTCGTTTCTTGGAACTGTCTTGTTCCTTACCTATACCACCCAAATCGGTGGAAACAGATGTCTGAGTTATACCACCCGAATTGGAATTCTGAGGTGAAAGAGAGAGTGATAATGGATTGGTTGATGAGGTATTGAGATCATCGATGGTACCACCCGAAGGGGAAATCGCCAGAGAATGGGATATATCAGGTGAAGTATCTAAAGATATAGTAGTATCAGCTATGATACCACCCGAATCGGAGTTCTTAGGGGAAGAATCAATCAATTGATCTGGTAAAGCAGGAGGAGAATCGGACAAAGAAGGAATCTCTGGAAGTACGTCATCTTCAAGAACAGAAGGTGTTGTATTGTCATCTGATATGGGGATTACGTCAGGAGGTAGTTCTTCATCAAATGTACTAGAAGAGATAGGTTTATTGAAATCTGAATGATAAAATGAGAGTGGACTATCTGAGTCGTCATCAGTATCAGAATCAGGATCCGTATAAATATCAGAGGTCAATGGTATCGTAGTAACAGGGTTTGAAGTTGGACTAACATCAGAGTTGGTTCCTTGAGTGTCGATGCTCTCAGGGCGCGAATGAATCATAGCAGTGTCTAAGTCCGGGTCATCAGATAATTCACTATCTGAATTCGGAGCCGAGGTAGAATTATCGGGTTCTGAAGAGTTATCGTCAATCAGAGCAGGAGCAGATGTATCGTTCAGGAAATCATCATATGGACGAGCAATGGACTGCATTAGTGGATCAAACACAGTTGAATCGTAGTTATGATCAGCAGATATATTAGTATCGGACCTAATCACCACATAGTTCGATGTATCCAGAACCTTATGAAGATGAGGAACATAGATGAGATAACCATGTGATTCCTTTGAAGGTGTTAAGGCATAACCGTGATGACCACGTACATGTAGTTTATCGATAGGATTAGTATCATGTGTAATAACATGTTGTCCAAATGGAAGAATGGTGCTTGCGTCGAGGCCAGCAAGACCAGCACGAGCACGAGCAGAGGTTTTGTATGTCGTATTTAACAGAGCATTTCGGATCAAGGTAGCAAACTCAACGGAATAGAACCAGAGGTGAGGAGAGAGACCACTACTTTCTAATAGAGTTCTACAATCATCTAGAAGAGTTCGGTTTAGTCTTTCTGCAACGCCATGGGCACGAGAATCACCAACAGAGGTATAGCATGGTTGGATACCATTTTCACGGAAGAAATGACGTATTTCAGCATTTGTGAATTCTGAGCCTCGATCCATTTGGAAAACAAGTACTTTAGTGTCAAATTGTGTTCCGAATGTAGCCACAATGTTACGGAAAACAGTAGTAACGGTGGATGCATCTTTAGAACGTAATGGAAAAACCCATCTAAACCTTGATTGTTCATCGGTAAATGAGATGAAATAAGTAGGTGAAGAAGTTGGCATATTGGGTACTGGACCAAAAAGATCAGTGTGGAGAAATTCGAAGGTATTGTATTCACGTTGATATTTAACACGTGATCCGACATAGTGTTTGTGTTGTGTACTTTTTCCTTTGAGACAATCAGGACATTGGAAAGTGTCAAAACCTGACCAGTCAATGTTGTCATAAGAGATATTCTTGATTAGTCCTTTACGGATAGAATCCTTGATGATTTTGATATTAACATGACCAAATAGTCGATGAATGAATTCAAAGGAAAAACGAGGTAGGATGTTGTTGATTCGATGATTCCTACTGCGAGCAGGTAACATCAAATACTTTGTGGAGAGCCAATAAAAGGGTCCATGTTTAAGGAGAGTAGCTATGACATTATTATCCTTGTCACGAAGGGAACGTGTGGAGAAGTCAGCGTAGATGCCGGCATCGTCAAGTTCATCGAGACTAATAAGGTCATAACGAATGTTGGGAGAAGAAGCAGCCGATATCTTCACTGGGGGACCATTAGCGAAATGGAATTTTAGAATTCCCGTAGAAGATATAGGTATTGGATTATCCTGCGCATCTTGCACTCCTATGTGGATAGGTTGTTGTGGAAAATGAAGCAAGGATGAGTGTCGAATGATCGATGTTGAAGCTCCGGAATCTAATAACAAGTATCCAGGGAGATCAAACTCGTCATCGACGTGATTAGGCGAGCCTAAGGGTATTGTCATCAGCATCCAGCTCTACCAGACCTGGTGTGATGTTGTTAGCTTTATGTGAAGTTGGCTTAGTGGACTTCTTAAATGCTGACTTAGCATTAGTCACTTTAGCAACAGAATTATTTTTCACATTAGTAGCTACAGGTTTGACCGCAGTATTCGGTGTAGGTTTTATCCGGTTGGAAGTTTTCTCCCGTTTGTTCTCGAGTTCGTATAAAATTTGGATATCTCTTAAAAGTAAATCCAAAGTTACCTCAGTACCGTCCAGAGCATATCTTTTTGTTAACGAATGATATGCTCCTTTCAAGCCATTCATAATACACTTGCAAATGAGGGTTTCGGGAATATTAATCTCAGAATTTCTACAATTCTCTACTAGAGAACGTATTTTAGCGGCAAATATAAATGCAGCGCTGGATCCATCGAAGGTGAGGTTATTCAATGCTTTGATTAATTCCTCAAGTGGATCATTATTAGCAACAGTTCCAATGGCATGTAGAATTAGAGTAAGAAGATCAGTCTTCTTCGAAGCTGAACGTTTCATCCAGTCAGGATACGAATTTTCTGGCACATACATATTAAATGTGTTTAAGATAAAGGCTTTATCAACATTGTTTGGGGTACGTTTGGCAGAACCGTATTTGTCTGGGATTAAGTCATCTAACTTGTTTTGCTTTAGGAATTTAACAAAGTCAGTAATCCATCTGTCAAAATCATGAGCCGACGTAGCTCTGGTTAGCATAATCATGTCCTTTGGTTTTGAAATAACTGAAGCATGTTGGGTTTGAGAGTTTGAATCCGTAGCAGAGGTGCTTGGAGGTGCTTGAGTTGGAGTAATTGGAGGATTGTGATGGTAATAGTCACTAGGAATCGAAGGTGGGATAGGAAATTGCAATCCGGGATGTATACCTGCGTAATTTGGGTCAAAGTAATTAGGGTAGATTGGTGGTGTAAAATGGTTACCATATGGAGACCAACCAATTGGGTATGGGTGGGACATCAACGCATATGGTGAATAATATGGATTATTGCTCGGACCGTATGCAGGAGAACCGTTGATTCCTTTAAAAGAATTTTTCAAAGATTCATCTTGTGGAACCTTCGTAGAGGTATCACCTGAATTATTATTGTGTAGTGAAGTGTCTAACGAATCGTCCGCTTTGTTACTGTCAAAGGGAACCTTAGCAGCGCTACCGTGTTCAGATGTTAACTTAATATCTGAGTGATTCATTTGGTGATTTATATCTAAGATGATTTTTGAAGTAATAGTAATATTTATTTATTTCTCCGTACTGTCTTATAAATGAACTAAATAAATATATAATAATAAATTGGACAAATGATATTTTGATATTCCAAAATATCATGTCCTTTTTATATGGTTAGATCCAATTTCATAATCTTAGTATTATTAATTAATTATCAATAATTCCTTTGCACTTCACTACCGCTGATACAATTGATCGTTGTCAATTCCTTGGTTATAGTTTCTTTTTATAATTACTTTTTATAATTACTAATTGTTATTACTAATCATAACTACTCATTATGATTGCTGATCATCATTACTAATCATAAGTACGTATTGTAATTTCTAATTGTATCCTGATATTAATAATCATATTAATAATCCATTGATTTAGTAATATTGGAACATATATTGTCACCGCGGCAATTGTCAAACATTGCGTCACGACAATATCATGTGTGCCTACCACTATATTACCTATATTTTAGGTCACAACATTGTACATTATTGTATATTATTGTATATTATTTAGTATCTTACTTTGTACATAAAAGAATATAGAAATTTATTATTATTAACAAGTATATTTACTTTAACCTACAGATCTCCACCCTTAAGATCCTATAGAATAAAGGCCTACCAGCCTACATTCTAACGTATACTAAATTCAATATACAACTAAATAATAATAAAGGCCAAATAATACAAAAATATATTTTTGTAAATCGAGAATTCAATTAAAAATCTTTCTATGCAAAATCAAGGAATTAAACAAGAAGAAGCAGATTAGAATTGGGATTCCATAATTTCTCATCAGCCATAGCAAGCTGCAGCACTCGGTGCGTACAGTGATATAAGGCATGTAGCTTAGTAGCAACATCCATATAATCTTTATCTATGACAACGCGAAACAGGATTGAATCCATATTGATGTAAAGGTTACCAGAGGTATAATAAAAACGATCAATGATCTTTGAAAATATCGGTGGTATAGAAGAAATCTTGTCAGCAAGTAGCTTTTGGATTTCAAGGAGTTGTGATAATGTCAACGAGTTGACATTGTCGATAACGTAATCAGGGTCGGTGGTATTGTCAGAATTCGGTGCCTCCGTTGAAGGCTCTGGATTGGTGGTAGAAGAGGTCTCCGCATCTGAGTCTGCACTCAATAATGTGAGATTGGATGTCGGAATGTCTACAGCGAACTGTTGTAACTGTTCGAGATCCAAATAAGGTTGGTCATCCAAACCGAAACGACTTAAGTAGTCTGCGAGGAGGTTCTTGGCTCCAGGGAGATATTTCCATTTGACACGATGTCCATTCACAAGATCCAAATATTTAGTGAATCGAGGATGAGTATTACGATCGGAATTACCAATACTAATAATACCCTTATTGTCGGTATATACAGTCACATCCGGTGAAAGAAGTAACTCACCTTTATTCAAGGCAGGTAGAACAGAGAAAAGCTCACGTTCAACAGTAGAATACCGTTGTTGTGTAGGATTGAATCGAACAGACAAAAAGGAGATAGGAAATAAAAGAGTTTTGTTATTATGAACCTCAGGTTGTAAAATAATAGAAGCACCGCCTTTTAAACTAGCATCTGAAAAGATTATAGTAAGAGCTTGTGGATCAAATAACTTTAAAGTGAGCGACCGAGTAATCAATTGTTTAAAAGATTAAAGATGGAGTGAGATTCGGTATTAAATTTTGTGGAGGTGGTAAAGTAGGAGTCAACCTTTTATCGAGTACATCATAAAAGGGACGTAAACGTTCAGAAGTATCAGGTATAAAATTTTTGCGGGTTCACGACAGTAACTGCTGTTCAAATGGAGTTCATTTGAAACAACTAAACTCACTTCACCATTGGGTTTATTACAATCATTCAGTAAAGGTGAACTTGGGTTGATAATGATCTCCGGAAAATACCGATTGACCTTCATCAAAGTTTCTTCTTTAGAAGAGAGATTAGTTCCAGATGGAGAAACTCTAACAGCATTAAAATCTGCAAATTTAGCTTCAATCTTATCATTGATAAGATTAGTCAAAACATCCTGTTCGGAGTCGAGATATTTCTCGATTTTGCCAACTTCAGACATTAAGGCTTCTTGCTTTCTCTCGTCAGCAAGAATTCTACCCTCAATTGCAGCTTCTTCCTTTTTGACTGCTGAAAATTGGGTAGAAGTGTTTTCCAAACCTTTCTTAAGGATATTAATTTGGGAATCTTCTTCCTCTTGTTTAATTCCTTGATTTTGCATAGAAAGATTTTTAATTGGATTTTTCGATTTACAAAAAATATATTTTTGTATTATTTGGCCTGTAATTATTATTTAATTGTATGTTTGAATTGGTATACGTTAGAATGTAGGCTGGTAGGCGTTTATTCTATAGGATCTTAAGGGTTGAGATCTGTAAGTTAAAGTAAATATACTTGTTAATAATAATAAAGTTCTATATTCTTTTATGTACAAAGTACGATACTAAATAATATACAATAATATACAATAATGTACAATAATGTACAATAATGTACAATGATCTTTTTAAATCGCAATATTGATAATATGACACCATTTGTTGTAACGAATTACATCTCGACATTATCAAGGTTCGTACGATGTAACCTTGAAATAATACAATTAATACAAAACAATGTATTGATTTCGGATTATAACATAATACGAAGAAGTGGAGTAATCAGTAAACAAAGGATTTGCGACACTGTCACAAACAAGAAAGTATATAAAGAACTAGATAATTATCATAGCTACATAAACAAGTTCCCAAACTAAAGGGGACAGACTTAATTATTATTACAATTGTCAGAATTATGATGTAACACGTGATCTAAACGTATTACGACATTATTCATATAGGATAAAGAAATGTTACTTTACACGAAAGTATTACTGACGCTGAAAACTTTTCCAACACTGTATATAAGAAATGATGAGATCTTAATTGACACTTATCATATGTACTATATTCCCAGGTGTATATTTTATACTTTAATACACCGGATCAATATCAACTTATTAGGAATGTCCTTGGAAATAAATAAAGAATCTATTACTATGAACGATTCGGTAGAAAAAACACAACATATTTCTCTACAATAATACTTATTCACTATTATATAATAACCGGTCAAAACAATGTATTGATTTACGAATAATTCTATACGAAATATTGGGGTATAACATATTTCTTTATCTACAGATGACACCCCAATTAGTATATAAAGCGACACTGTCGCATTGCCATAACTATTTGCTACCAAAACAAATCATCATATCATCATATCATTATTTAAACAACTAAGTATTATTATATAAACTTAATAATAAGATTAATATAGATAATAGTTATATAGTTACAATACGTCGTTGGCCTATTGAACATTATTTTGTTGAAATTGTTGATCATTTTTAATAGGTGACATATTTCTTAAATTATATTTCTCCGTGAGGATTTTATATATAATATAAAATAATAATATAAATATGTAAAGGTAATTTTGGAAATCAGATTATCCTAATCTTGAGATTAGTGTCCGTATTTATACGTTTAATCTTCGATCTCACAATCTTGTAATTACTAATCATTAATTCTAACAATTCCTTGCACTCTCACTCAAGTATTTTAGTTTATTGGTAATTTACCAATAATATTCTTTTTATTTTGTTTCTAGAATGTTCTACAATATTGCAAACAATAAATAACCTGATTGTTAGTAATTACCTGATTAGTTATTGTATACCATATTAATAAATTGATTTATGTTACATTATCATAGATATATCTATGACGTCATGAACATCTTATAAAGTAGTCACGTGTGAGTGGAAATAAGGAACATTCTGGAACCTTCTAGGTCAGAACACAATCAGATATTACTTTTACATCTGAACAAATGAGCCAACGTAATCCTACAAACCAGTAATAATACCAGTCCTATTACTTCTGATCCTAAGTAACTTTGTACGAATGCTATCCGAAGATTAGATTGTATGCACCAAATAAAGCGCTCAAGAACATTAATAAAATGCTTCTATGGCCAAGTTGGTAAGGCGCCACACTAGTAATGTGGAGATCATCAGTTCGACTCTGGTTGGAAGCATTGTTTTGATTTTTGCTATCTCTACTAAACCAAATGACTGGTTTGCCATTTCAAACTTTTTATATTGCATCTTACTGTTCATTCCCATGGTAACATGGTCTCTAATTAAATTAATTCGAGAAACACCACAAGGTGTTACTCCTGCGATGAAGTTAAAGAACTAACCTTTCCATCAAAAAAGGTTACTTGTTCAAATAAATATACGTACTTGAGGTGGATATAGGAACGCACTACTCAAGATTGAGAATTAGATTATCAACAACATAGGCGTAAAACAATGAGAATGAACAATAAATATTAATTCTGTTTCTTAATAAAATAAATTACTGTGTGCCTTACAAAAGTACACCAGTACTAAAAATATAATTAGATAACCTATATTTTTGTTTATATGTAGATTTATATATTAGTATAATACGAAGAGAAAAAGAGGGGGGGGGAGGAGTACTAAATTATGTAATATTAGACAGCCACGGTAAGACCAAATAATGTCAAATATTAATCAAAAATAATATTTTTAGACCACCTGCTGTAACAACACATTTTCTATAATCTGTTGTCAAAGTTATTCATTGATATACTCTTTATTATCATCCCTACCCTTACACCTTCTCCCCAACCCTTTTAGTATAAAACGTGCCAAAAATCAAACAAAAAACCACACACTCTCTTTATCGTTATTTGAGCAACAGACACACATTTACACAATATTATTACTGAGAACAGGATAAAATACAATTTAATTTACAACATGATTTGAGACCCTTTTTTAAAATACTCTGAACTATTTAAATGGAGGTTCAATTTATTCATCCAATATTTAAGATAAGGTAAGCTATAATCATCGGCAATAGATTTGATCTAGGTCCAGATTTTACCATTCGTTTCTACCGTATCTTCCTTCACATCCCTTACAGTCAATATTTCGTGGAAATTAGATAACAATTAGCTAACATAAACCAATATAGTAACGAATGGGATGAAAATTGAATAATTTACTTATAGTATACTATATCAGGTTTTTTTTCTCAATATTAAATATATAGAATAAAGACGACTATATTTAAAAATTAAGTACCTTAGCATTATAATTGATTACTTCATTTAATAATTTACAAAGCAACTCAAAGATAAATTAAAGACACTTATTACAGCTCCATTAAGTTCCAAGCACTAATATTTTTTGTTGTGCTTGTTTGTATTAAAAACCAGAATATCAATTAATTGCTTCCATTATAGCTATTATTGGGGAGTATTTATGTACATTTGAATTTTTTTTCATTTTGATTTTTTTACTTTTTACTTTTTTTTTCTTAATTCATTTGAATATTTTTTAAGTTTGATTTTTGATTCAAAAACTTCAGTACTAAATAAAAAAAAAGCAAATAAAAATATTGAAATAACATAATATATACGTATAAATAAGGTGAAATTGGCTAATTACTTCTAGATACAAGTGGACTAATACTTAAAGTACCTGTAGTATTCCCAATAGATATATATTTATATGTGTGTAAAGGTTTTTTTATTTTGAAAAAAAGGAATTACCAGATATAAACTATAAAATACCAAAAAAAAAGATAAAAGGAATTGTAAAGTTTACAACACAATAGTCAAGCATATATTGCCAAATACAGATAACAACTCACAATTCAATTTGCATTCAACTTTAATTATTATTCTGATATACTAGATAATGTCCGAAGGATTTCTGATAGAAATATAGTATTAACATTCATATTCTGTTTTCCCTTTTGGATGAAGAAAGAAATTTTATCAAAACAATTTAAATCTATAGATAATTCAATGCATCGAAGTGGCAATCAAGGCGAAAATAATAATTCAAAAAATGTCAGTAATGAAAATAAAATTGAAATTGAAAATATCGAAACAATAACTCTCCCGCCAAAATTCATTGATTGTTCAAGGTCTGATTTAGTTGCATTGATAGCAAGAATGCTATCATTTTTAATCGAGATGAACGACAATGATCCAGCTAATACAAATTATTTAAATGAAGAGCCAAATAATAGATCAGTAATGAATTTAACAAGATTTCACTCAAGAGTACCTCCAAATATATCAGTTTACAATTATTTAATTAGATTGACAAAATATTCTTCTCTAGAGCATTGTGTTTTATTATCAACAGTATACTATATCGATTTATTATCTAGTGTATATCCAGAATTTAAAATAAATTCCTTAACTGTACACAGATTTTTATTAACCGCCACAACTATAGCTAGTAAAGGATTATGCGATTCCTTTTGTACAAATTCGCACTATTCAAAAGTTGGAGGTGTTCATTGCAGTGAATTAAACATACTAGAAACTGAATTCCTACGACGAGTTAATTATAGAATAATACCAAGAGATGATAATATTAAACTTTGTAAAATTGAACATCAACAAAATAAATTCACTATGGATTTTAGCGACCTTTCTATGGTTGGGATGACTGTCCAATCAAACCATCAAAATAGTGGGTTTAATATCTTAGATATTTACTATCATAAAATCGTTCAATTAGTTGGATCTTTTAGCGCATCTTCTGACAAGTCAAGAAAGGCAAATTATACCCTTTTATTATCAGGAAATAATATGGAAAAGGAAGTATCTAATAATATAAAAGAAAATTCAAATGGTCAAAATATTGGAGAATCTGAACAGGCTATTTCTTCAAAACTTTCAAGAGATCCTCCACCGAAGAGAAATTTTGAAACAATTAATAATGAAAGACAAACAACTTATACAAATAATACCACAAATGAGACTGAATCATCAAAAAGGCTCCAGAAATATTCAATAACACGAACAGATTCCATCGAATATGACAAAAGCAAAAGAAATAATGCATAATTATATATAAATATATATTTTCAACTAAATCCATCCAAAATACTATTCTATATCCATTCAAACCTTCCAATCTTACAACTTGAACATTGAATCAATATTAATAAAAACAATACCTGAAACTAGTAATCCGCTTATATGAGTGCTCTGCATGCTACAGATTTCTGAACCAAAAATCAAGTTAACCTTCGTTGTTATAATCTCCATTAATTCTCAAGAAAAAACAGAATACAATTGCACTCCCAGTATATCATACTACCAGAATATCTTACAGACAAACCAGAAAACTGTGTTCGGAACTAATAAAACCATCTGGAAATTTAAAAGATAGTTAAAATATTCCTAAGAAAAGTTAAAAACTTAATATACATAAAAATATAGTTGTAATTGAGGCACGTGAAACTCACAGTAATATAACTACCGATTTTTAGGTGATCAAGATCATCATGCTAATGATAATAAAATTATGGTACTATCTGATCTGAATATGTAGTTTCTTATATTACACTGATTTAGTGCCTCATTAGAATGTCATATTTCTACCCTTATCATTACTTATAGAATTTACCGTATCCTGGCTATAGATAATTTCGACCAAAATCTTCACATTTTTTTGGCCCCATTCGGACGGTACTTAATCAAAAATATTGTAAATTTGATTATAAAATTTTTATGCGATGAGATAACTATAAAAAAAATATAGATATTTAATGTATCATCTTATTATGTATAATAAAGAGGATAAAGATAATACATGGTACTCTGTTAGTTTTATCAAAATCATAATAAAACAAGAATATCAGAAATGAGTGAAGATATTAATAAGGAGCTGCTATCATCTGTGGTTTCAACTGTAAGGGCAGCCAGTTCTTTAGCTGCACAGGATGTGGACTTTTACCGTAATCTGGATAAAGAAATTTCAACATCGTTAAATGAAAGTTCTAAGGAGATTACAAATATGATAAACACCTTGCTATTATCCATTAATGAAAACAATGAAGAATTAGAAAGTGGAAAGGAAGGTCTTGAACAATATTGGAAAGATTTTAGTAATGTTATGGATAATTTATTTGAAAAATCAGACCGTTCCTTGGATATCATCACAAGAAGTAAAACTTCAAATGATAATAAATCAGAATTCCAATACTTATCAGATTCAGCACAATCGGATTCGAATCCTTCAAAACGTGTTACAAAGCCCCAGTTACAATTTTCAAGACCAGTTGATAATTCTGAATCCAAACCCTTCATGCCACTATTAAATGACAAACCACATTCCATTAAAAGTTTTACCGATAGTTTAATTATTATTCCAGAATCCGAAGAGTTGCCTAGTCATTATGCTCATCCATATGAGGTAGAAATTGATAAACAAGAATACAATGCATCAGTTTTACAGGTGGCAGAACCACTAAAGTCTCAACCATGGAACTCTGAATCTACTTGGGTTGATACTTCGGAAGCTCTACAATCCATGTTAGATAAGCTGAAGGAGTGTACTGAAATAGCTGTAGATTTAGAACATCATGATTATCGAAGCTATTACGGTATTGTGTGCTTAATGCAAATTAGTACTAGAAAGGAAGACTTTTTGGTCGACACATTGGCTCTTCGTGATGAGCTCCACATCTTAAATGAAGTTTTTGCCGATCCAAATATTTTAAAGGTCCTTCATGGTGCATTTATGGATATAATATGGCTACAGAGAGATCTGGGGTTGTATGTAGTAAGTTTATTTGATACTTACCATGCATCGAGAGCTTTAGGGTTTCCAAGACATAGTTTGGCATATTTATTAGAAAAATATGCTAATTTTAAGACCTCCAAGAAATACCAATTGGCAGATTGGAGGGTGAGACCGTTGTCAAAGCCTATGCATGCTTATGCTCGAGCTGACACACATTTCTTGCTAAATATTTATGATCAAATAAGAAATCAGTTAATAAGGGAGAATAAGTTGGCCGAAGTCTTGTTCGAATCAAGAAATGTAGCTAAAAGACGTTTCGAGTACTCCAGATTCAGACCTAAAGTACCATCACCTGCTGTGTTTACACCAATTGAAAAAGAAGAGCCTTGGAGGACGTTAGTTTATCAATACAATGTTCCTTCTACAAAAATAGAGCTACTCAAGAGGATTTGGGAGTGGAGAGATATGATAGCAAGGAGAGATGATGAATCTCCAAGATATATCATGCCTAATCAACTGATGATATCTTTAGTTGAGTATACTCCGATCGATCCAGCCGGTGTTATATCAGTCAGTAATGTTATGACTGATCATGTTAGATCTAATTCCAAAGTTATAGCGAACTTAATCAAAAAAAGCTTAGAAGATATGAAAAGTGTTCCAGCAGGAGCCCTCACTGCATTTCAAAATATTGACTACAAAATTGGCCAAAAGTTTGCATCTGATAAATTGACTATTTCTCAAATTCAGAATATGACTGCTTTGTTTAAGGAAATTGCCTCAAACCCAAGCATAATTGAAAAGGATGTATCTAAAAAGATTGACCCAATTTTATTTAGCAACATCTTCCTTTCAAAAAATGAGATAGTTTTATATGATCATGATAAAAGGCATGTTGTTACCAATGAGCAATTGGCTGGCCGTGCGGAAGAAGTTGAAGGATTCATGAATGAGGCTAATAATACCACCTTAGCGATAAATATAGAAAGTTCAGCAGAAATGCATGTGGAAGAACCAGAGGCTAAAGAAAAGAATGCTTTATTTTCCCCACCTATCAGCAATGTAGAGAATGCATCTTCATCAAATACTGATGGATTCGAAGATATGAACGACATCATTGTTCTGAAAGATGTCAAGAAGAGGACAAATATTAAGGATCACAAGAAGAAGCAGGGCATGCCAAATAAAGAAGTTATAGATTATAGTAAGCTTGATACGATTCTTTCTAAAGAAAAGAGAGAAAACTCAAAAAAAAGGAAAGGAGATCCATTTGGAGAAGAAAATGGATTGGAAGGACCAAAAGCTGCTAAGAAAAGAAAACAAATCAACAGAGGAAAAAATGTTTCATTCAAAAGATAAGATTAACATTAATGTAATATCGAAACTTCAATTATAAAGTTAAGATTACCAAGTGAAATGGACCCAATTTTTAAATTATTACATATTTCGACTTTGTATAATCTATAAATATGTAATAACATATTATACACTACTATAAATTATTAAATCTCACATATATATTTATTTAAGTATTTGTTTGTTTATTTATTATTATCATTATTATTAGTATTATATATATATATATATATCGATGACTTTGAGATGTTGAAGCTTATTAAAAAACTATTTTAAAAAAATAATATCAACAACTACATGAACTTGGTTCCCCATCTAGTTGAATATTAATTGCATCATTAAAATCATCCTCAAAAGCGTCTGCATCTGCTTGGTTTTGTTGTAGTGCACTGCGTGCAATCTCTTCGAAAGCTTGATCTACATTAATAGCATTCTTAGCACTTGTTAAAAACAATGGGACATCACCCAACTCTTTTGCTAATTCTTGAGCAGACTTTTGTGTTACAATTTTTTTAGAATCTTCGACATCAATTTTATTCCCCAATATAACAAATGGGAATGTTTCTGGTGAAGAAACATTTGCATGTATTAAAAACTCATCTCTCCAAGATTTAATATTTTCAAAGGACTTTGAGTTTGTAACGTCATATACTAAAACGCAACAATCTGCACCTCTATAAAAAGCAACACCAAGGGATTGGAAACGTTCCTGACCAGCAGTATCCCAAACTTGCATAGTTGCTGCTTTATCATCATCCACTGTAACTTCTTTAGTTAAAAAATCAGCTCCAATTGTTGCTTTATACTGTTGGGAATACTTATCATTAACATAACGATGCATTAAAGATGTTTTCCCAACACCTGAGTCACCTAATACAATTACTTTTAAAATATTCTTTTTCCTAGATGACATTATCAAATTAATATTATAATTATTTTTTTTTTGTATATTTTGATGAATGAATATATTAAATATACCTATAAGTATTTGAACCTTTAGCGTGCTTATATGATGATTACTCAAATGGTGTATGTATTGATATACTAACGCTTTATATCCAGTAATACCAATATACTAGTTCAAATGAATTTTACAATTTGTGATAATTTTATCCTGTACTCAATACCAAATTGCAAAACTTGAATAGAAGAGGGACTATTAATCGAACAATAATATATATGTAAAAAAAAAATACACTAGATTGGATAGAGATGCTATATGTATATATTTAGATTGTATCCAATGCTGCTATTGCTGTTGCGGTAATTGTAGTTCTTGTTACTGTTGATATGTATTCAATAGCTTAGAACTAACTGACCTTCTCACAATAAAAAGAGTAATTGTATATAATACTACTTGGTGTGAGGTCAAATTTAACTTAGTCAGTCAATTTGTTAAAAGTTAACAATATGATATTCCTGCACTATAATATGTCGTTCATAATGACAACATTTAGTATATTGTATAATTATATAAAAAAAAATTAAGTAAGGCCTTCTTATAACCAGTACAACAATAACAGATGGTATAATAATAATAATAATAATAATTCTACTACATTAGAACGGTTATATAAAGCACACCAAACTTAACGATATAATTTTATTAAGGGTCAATTGGGTCGCTATTGTATAAGACGGTTATTTGCTTTGGGTGTCCTCTCTTTATTTCACCACAGGATAGAATTTTTTTTATTTTTATTTTTAAGGGAAATTACTACAACTGATAACTTAACTATTGGGTAACATTGAATAATTAATTTGCTTATCAAAGTGATATATATTTATATGCAATAAGAATGGCATCGAAAAAAAAGATCTCGAGGATTAATAAACCTGTAGAAGAATCGTTTTTTGCATCACCTTTGTATGATTTTTTATCTCCATTTAGACCTGTAAGCAATCAATGGTTAACTGAATATATTATAGTTATATTTGCATTGATTGTGAGATGTGCCATTGGGTTGGGTTCGTATTCAGGAATGGGAAATCCTCCAATGTTTGGCGATTTTGAAGCACAAAGACATTGGATGGAAATTACTCAACATTTGCCAATTTCAAAATGGTACTTCTTTGATTTAGAATACTGGGGTTTAGACTACCCACCATTAACTGCATATCATTCTTATGTTTTAGGTGTAATAGGCTCTTTTTTGAATAAAAGTTGGTTTGCATTGAATGATTCTCGTGGTTACGAATCAGAAAATAATGATCTTAAAACTTACATGAGAACTACCGTAATAATAAGCGAAATTATATTTTATATTCCAGGTGTAATATATTTTACAAAATGGGTGGGCAGACACAGACAACAATCGCTTATTGGACAATATATTGCTGCTGCTGCAATTCTTTTCCAACCTTCATTAATGTTAATTGACCATGGTCATTTTCAATACAATTCAGTTATGTTGGGTTTAACTGTTTATGCCATAAACAATTTGTTAGATGAATTCTACGCTCCAGCTGCTATGTGTTTTGTTTTATCGATTTGTTTCAAACAGATGGCTTTGTACTACGCCCCTATCTTTTTTGGCTATTTATTGGGAAGGTCGTTGTTCTCAAGGAAGTTTTTCAATATTTCAAGATTTTTGAGTATTGCAATTTCAACAGTGTTCGCATTTTTTTCCATGTATGCACCATTGTATGTATTTGGTGGGGGACTTCGTAATGTAATCCAATCAGTTCATAGAATATTTCCCTTTGCAAGAGGCCTATTTGAGGATAAGGTAGCAAACTTTTGGTGCGTAACAAATATCTTCATTAAATACAAAATTCTCTATACTCAAAAAGAGTTACAGTTATATTCTTTGATTGCCACCGTTGTTGGATTTTTACCTGCAGTAGTGACTATTTTGTTCTACCCAAAAAAACATTTACTCCCTTACGCTCTGGCAGCATGTTCAATGTCATTTTACTTATTCAGCTTCCAAGTCCATGAAAAGACAATTCTTGTACCACTTTTACCAATCACCCTTCTGTATACTTCAACTGATTGGAATGTCTTATCATTTGTTAGTTGGGTAAATAACGTTGGGTTATTTACACTATGGCCTCTATTGAAGAAGGATGGGTTGACATTACAATATGGAGTTTGCTTTTTTTTGAGTAACTGGTTGATAGGTAACTTTAGCTTCATCACTCCTAAATTTTTGCCAAAGATGTTAACGCCTGGTCCACCAGTTCAAAATACAGAGGACACCTATCATCGTAGAAGCTTATTGCCTCATAACATTCTATGGAAAATAATTATTGTATCTTCCTATATTGTAATGCTGTTGATCCATCTAGGGGAAATTTTTGTTTCTCCTCCACCTGAATATCCTGATATTTGGGTTCTCATGAACTGTTGTTTAGGATTTGGTTGTTTTGTTCTATTTTGGTTGTGGAACTATTATAAAATATTCACCTTGGCTAATAAGACTTTACAATATTTATAAATAGATATCCTTATAGTGGTTAGAATTATTCACTAACCACTGAACTTAAATAAAAATTAAAAAACAAAAGATACCTTATTATTTGAAACGGATGAACACATTAAAAATTATACTAGATAGATAGTGATGATGTCATAACAGAAGAACGATAGTAAATTATTTTATAGAATATTTTAGTCTCCTATTCACAGGATAGATACTAAGCTACCAATTGTTGGAAAAAACAATAAAGAGTGTACCGGTGTGTCAGTGTTGTATGGATTATGTCTGCCAGGACTTGTTTCTTAAAATGTTAAACATTATGTCTCAATGTCAATGTGATTATTCAATATTATATATTTGCAGGATGACGTTTATACTTCTAATGGAAACTACAATGAGGTTTTCACAAGCCTTATTGAGAAAAATGTTAGAATTACATGTAACTTGATCGACGACATCAAACCCAACCTATACTTAATAAAGGAAACAATTATATGTAGTGAATTTTGATGACAAGGTTTTTATTTTAGAAATGAATTATATGGTTAAAGCGAATATTGAGAAGATTTAATTGTAAATGATTACTTCAATTATAATCATGAAGTCTAATCTTGATATTTTGCAAAATGTCAGCAGTAGTTTAGTATGTTTACTATCATTATAAAGTAATTTATGAAAGAATATGAATGTAACTTTTATTGTTAAGGCTGGGACTAAATACTGTGACGGTGGTAGTATAACAGTAGAAGAATAAAGTGAGGTATATATGAAGTCGATGTCTAGGTAATAGTATCTTTAATATCTAAAATATAAAGCAGTTCAGCCAAATAGTATGTGGATATATATATATATATATATGAATATCTATATTGTTGCAGTCTACTAGAATAACCTCAAAGCTAAGTGCACTGTATAATTTTCTTATATTAGAGATTCATCTTCTGGCGATTAGAGGAATATCGTAAGATATACTGATAGTAACTATCGAAAGCAATGTAGAGTATCGGTAATATATTTCTTTATATAATATGGAACCTGTAACGTTGGGGGATCAGATCTTCGTTCTAGAAAGTCAGAATATGTCACTGACAAATGAAGGTACATGTGATACTGTTACCAAGTGACCCAATTTAAGAAGTCCCCACACTCCCCCCAACTAAATTCACAGTTTCATTGCAGTTGATATACAATCATAGAGTTCCTGATTTATATATATAGTTCGCATTCATAATTTCGTTCAGCAATTTGTGTTTACCCAGTAAGTATAAAATTGGAGTCAATTCTTTAAGACTTACTCTTTCAGAGGTTTTATAAAACGTCAGTAAGATTAGACTAAGATTTGATATATTGTGACATGTATTGACCTGGCCGGTGACGCTAATTTATTTTGGTAACTTTTTTCTAAATTTATTACACTTTGATGTTCTAGTACTATAGGCAGCAGATATAACACCTCCATTGTTTTTTGAACGCAATGCTGGTGTTATCATGTTGTCAAATATCTTCAAGACTCTTTTTTAACCATTTTCCTTCTCGATAAGCCTCTAGGAGCCCAAATAGTCCGGCCTCAAAGAGTTGATGTGAGAATATATATTTGTTTACGAAAATACCATTTTGTGTGGAGTATCATTCCAACTAACTATATATCCAAACTTGATTAGACGATGATTGTTAGTACCAATACTAGGGCTGGAATATTCAAGTAGTGTCACTTACATTGTTGGTTTTCATTAAATGTTAGCGATAGATTTAATGACCCTTTAATATATCTGAGGAGTCATTTCAGTGTCATTTGGCCATTAACTGACCTTTTTGATACATTTTCACCTAATGTCGATATTAAATACCTTAAATCAGCTTAAATTACATTTTCTATTTGTTAGGTTTCATTATTTTCCAGTTTGCGGATAATTGTCCATAGCAACCCGACTAACATATTTACTGATTCCATTGAAAGAGGTTGTTTGGGGTCATATGAGTTAATAATGATATACTACAAATTATAACTTACGTGGCACCTGAATTTATTCTTTTCATTAAGTAGCTTAACAGTTCTGATTCCTATAGTCGGTTTTTCAAATTGTTTGGCTCTATTCTGTTTGTTTTTCCTCAATATCCTCTGTTACTTAAGAGGCTGATTGTTTAGTATTATTGTCATTCATCATGTCTCATGTCTTTTACTGATTTTTGTTCAATGTTTAATAAAATATGATTGCTATTTGGTACATTCTTTTGCTTATGCATTCCCTCATTGAATTTACCGTTAATTGGTTTGTCTTTTTTATTGGTAATGCAATCGAAGATGAAATCCTCTTTTAGGTTAAGTTTAGTGCTCTCAATTCATTCTAGTGGCATATATGTTTTTTCAGTTTTAGGAATTTTATCAATAATATTTTTTAACTTTTGACTTCTTATGTGCATATCAATCACAATAAAAATTATTGTTTTCATTTCTTTCCCTATATAAACTTTAAGAGTTTCATATTCTTTCATTGTTAATATATGTATGATTAGTTTTTATGGAGAGCAGAGCAGAGATAGCAGTTGAAATCCTGATACCTTCTATTGAATTAGTGAGTTTCCCTCTGTTTGACAAACGGGGATCTTTATCTGTAGTTGTTACTCGAAGTATCGCCAATAGCTGTAATATCTAAAGGTTTTTGATTGAATTTATTTGGTTAGTTTCACTTTTATTGAAAGTATAATTAATTAATATCAATTTACTTGCACAAAAATTCTTAGGATGTGTTACGTTATTATGTCGTTTTCACCTGTTGAATTTGAATTAAAGACCTAGTTCTATGCCATCAGTGATTGATAGATGTAATAATAAAAGAATGTGTTATCTGATTACAATCTAAGGACTTATAACGTTTTATAATAGTTTATGTTATCCGTCCCTTTTGAGAAAAATCTTTTAAGTGTAAAAGATTAAGAAGTCGGGAAATTTTTTTCAACTTTTGAAGAGATTCATTTCATTTCTACTTTACTGAATCTTTCATAATATTAGATTCTTTATTTATTTCCAAGGACAAAATTATACAGTTGATATTGATCCGGTGTATTAAAATAAATAATATAGACAGGGAAATATATTTAATATAATGAGTATCAATTAAGACCTTATCAGCTATTATATACAGTGTTTGCATATTCTTGACACTTCAGAAAAAATATTTTCTTGTTCGAAACATTTCTTTATTCTTGATGGATAATGTTGTGATGAGTATGGCTTATGTGTCATCTCATAATTATGACAATTTTTTAGATTGATTTCTGTTTATTAGATGTGGTTTGTTCTTTACAGTTTCTGCTCTTTTTCATTCAGTACACAATTCAATGTCGGTTATTGAGAAATAATAAGAGGTGGGAACCAAAAAGGAATTAGTGACGCTTCTACCAGTTTGGTAACATTAGTTATTAGTATTATTGGTACATGTTCAAGAGAATATTGTATAATTTATGATTAGAATCGTGTTCCAATTATCTGTTGTTTTATTCTAATTGAAATAATATTCAGCGTGTGGCATAAAAAGATGGTGAAATGGGCAACTACTTTCATTACTTGTCCTACTAATCTGTTCATTTTCTTTTAGAATTCTATAACTTTTCTGATGACTTCCAATAGTAGCGAATATGATTCTAAAATGCCCATTGGTGTAATAGGTAATGTCTGTTCAGATGTAAAAGTAATATCTTATTGATTCATTTTGGTGATTGATACAAGATGTTTTTAATATAATATTTATATTTATTTCTCCGTAGTGTCTTATAAATTGTAACTAAATAAATATATATTAATATTTGGAATAAACAATATTTTAGATGTGCCAAAATGTCATGCCTTTTTATATGTTTAGATCCAATCTCATAATCTTAATATTATGAATTTATGATAATAAATTATGATGCCTTTGCACTTCACTTCTTATGATATGATTTGGCAATTACTTAGAAGGTCGAGTATGCCATTTGCGATCGATCAATTGCAATTTGTCATAACCTTTACTGTCATAACCTTTACTGCCATAACCTTGAAACCCATTAGTGTAAGCCATACATTTTAGGTTACAACAATGTCTTTTCCTAAATATGCATAAATCTACATCTTGTAATACTGGTCGTACCTAATACCAACTGTATTATTTGGCCTTTAATTATTATTAACTAGTATATTTACTTTAACTTACAGATCTCAACCCTTAAGATCCTATAGAATAAACGCTTACCAGCCTTCATTCTAACGTATACCAAATTCAATATACAATTAAATAATAATTAAAGGCCAAATAATACACAACAATTTGGTCGCGTGATCTATTCGCAATTATGGTATGCCCATAAAGTTTACTAACATGTCTTCTGTTTTACAATAAATCTTGTTCCTCGTGGCCCAATGGTCACGGCGTCTGGCTACGAACCAGAAGATTCCAGGTTCGAGTCCTGGCGGGGAAGATTATTTTTTTTGGAAATATTTTTTATCATTACAATTGCCTCTTAATAAACTCTAATAAATCTCGATACTTTAAACAATACTCAGATATACAATATCACAAGTACAATCCTTCCATCTATATCTCTCTCATGTATGTATATATATATGTTCTTATCTACCTCTCATAAATTACCGTACAAACCACCTCGCCCATCTAGAATCTTCTTCATAGTAAAATGTGAAATTTCATATCAGACGAACTTAGTAAACAACGCTCGTACAAAATATCAGGCAATAGTAAAAAAATGGTAATGATATCTCATAGTGAACTGATTTTGAATAAATGATATTTAATATTTGAGAACAAATTGTTGAAGGTATATTGAGATAAATGTTATACAGTTCTGATTAAACAAGTTGTTAGTGGGAGACTAAGATAAGCACTTAAACTGTTTTTGGGTTAATCGTTTAATTTGGGTTTAGTTTAGTATAAGGTTGAAAAATAAAAATGTCAGTTTCAAACAAAGATATTGCTGCTTTAATCATCGATTTTTTATCAACTGTTGTTGATAAGAATGAAGTTTCTGAAGACAATGCTGATTCATTAAATGTTGCTATGGATTGTATTGCAGAAGCTTTTGAATTCGAAAGAGACTCCGTTGCTGGTGTTGTTAAATCTTCATTCCAAGGTAATTCTTTGTCATCTTATTTGAATGGTAGCACTAGTGCTTCTGCTGCTACAACTACTGCAGATGAGACCGTTAAAGTTAATGTTACTGAAGATGACACTGAAGCTTCTGAAGCTGCTGAAGCTTTGAAATTGGAAGGTAACAAAGCTATGGCTGGAAAAGATTATGAATTAGCTATCAAAAAGTATACTGAAGCCATTGCCACTCTTCCAACTAACGCGGTTTATTTTGCCAACAGAGCAGCTGCTTACTCTTCTTTGAAGAAATATGATGAAGCTGTTGAAGATGCTAATTCTGCAATTAAAATTAACCCAACTTACTCTAAGGGTTACTCTAGATTGGGTTTTGCTAAATTTGCCCAAGGTAAAGCTGAAGATGCCTTGGAAGCGTATAAGAAAGTTTTAGATATTGAAGGTGACAAAGCTACCGAAATGATGAAGAGAGATTATGAAACTGCTAAAAAGAAGGTTGAACAATCTTTGAACTTGGAAAAGAGCACCGTATCAGGTAATGCTACCGCCGAATCTGACTCTGCATCTGCTGCTGATCCATTTGCCGGTATGGGTGGTATGCCAGATTTCTCATCTATGTTAGGTGGCGGTGGTTTAGGTAATTTATTAAACAACCCACAATTAATGCAAGCTGCTCAACAAATGATGCAAGATCCAGAAGCTATGAAGCAAGTGGAAAGTATGATGCAAAACCCTTCAGTTAAACAAATGGCTGATCAATTTTCTTCAGGTAACGGAACTCCAGATTTTAGCGCATTGATGAATGACCCATCTATTAGAGATATGGCTAAAAATATGTTTGGTAACGGTGGCTTCCAAGGTGCTCCACCAAGTTAAGAATTGTATACTAACTTCTACACCGTCTCATAAAGAATAATACTTTGGAATACACTTTATGTCTGGTAGTATTAACTTTTTATAATAAATATATATGTTTATACGAGAATGCTAAATAATGCTATAAAATATTAATTATTTTCAAATTGTTTGTTATGAATATTTTCTATATTCAACACTTGATCCTTAAGTGTTGCTATCGCTGATGGAATTATCATATTAAGGATGACATCTTTGAAAAATCTTGATTTGAATGTTAAGAATTTATTAAACTCTTCTGCTAAATTTTCATGTGCGTACCAGATATGTGCAGTTACCTTATCGAATAATGTGGTGTTTTCAATAATTTCCTCAGATATTCTTTTTTCAGCAGCCTCTCTTTTGTTCTTTGTATATCTACTTAAAATATTTTCATTCAGTCCATTTCTAGAGTCAAAATCTGAGAAATCTCTTTTGTATTGCTTTTTCAAATTAGACAGGATGAAATGAACACTATGCCACTCTGGTATATCATTTTTTATTAAGTCATTGAAATTGTCAGACATGTGTATTGTACAAATTTCTAGGAAAGAAATCTGGTCTAAAAGAATTAAAAAAATACTTTGGAAGTACTTGGGTTTAATTAGACCGTCAATTTTTTTCATCTGATTAGAAATATCTTTTTGTTGTAATAATGCTCCAAAATTACGAAACAGCTTATATGATTCATTGACATCATTTATTTTCAAAGCTAAGAAAGTACAAAGCTTTTTTAGAATTGCCAAAGTTCTATTTAGTTTTCCCAACTCATTTATATTAAATTGGACAAATGACTTTATCATATTAATATCATCCAATGTCATCCTTTTATAATAATTTTCCTTTTTATGTTTTCTTTTACCTGCTTTGATCCATTTTGTAAGTGATTCTGGATTTTTGAATAATTCGGTGTCAAAGTCATCAGTTTCAATTAAAGTGCCAAAATAATTCGAAATTAAATTTAGAAATGCTCTATTTTTCAATTTTTGGATGCCATTATTTGGATTGTTCTTTACAATTCCTGTTAACCTTAATAGAACTTCTTTATGAGGTATAAAATGCAATGGGTATAATTTATTATACTTTTTTATAATGTTAAAAAGTATTTTCAGACTAACGCTCTTTGTGATATATGAATCTTGATTTGTATCCTTAAAGGTGAAGTATAGTACCCAATTAGAGTTCTCTACCCTCAAACTGTAGGCTGAAAACAAATTGAACATCGAATTTCTAACTGATCTAACCCCCAAATCTTCGAATATAATTGTGTTTTTAACAAAGTCATAACAATCTAGAAACGTATGTTTTTGGTATTTTCCCAGAATTAATCGCTCATCTCTGATAATTTCCTGAATATTACTCACTCTATTATATTTAACATATGTCATTAAAGGTGTGATATATTTTAAATTATGTGCATTTATGTTAATATTATCATACTTTAATAAAACTTGGATATCACACTTTAGAATATGGAGTAGGGTATTTTCTTTAGAGTCGTTATGATCTTTGAAATTAAGTTTCTGATTTCTATTTTCATACCATTTCTGGGCTTCAAAAAATGCAGTTTCTATCATTTGTTCATAGCATTCCTGATCATAAGTACGACAAATCGTTGTTAAAGGAGTATAGCCTTTATCGTCCTTAATTTTCCAATTAAAAAACAATCCAATCCTTTTTAATACATCTATTTGGTTTGTGATATAGTGAGCTGCTATCCTTTGGTTGTTGTCAGTTCTATTAAAGTACTTTATGAGTTCATCCTCTGAGCACGAGGACTGCAACACATCTACAATTAATTTTGCACCGACTTCATTTTCAACTTTTAAAGCCTTCATCAACAGCGTTGTTCCCTCAATATCCTCATCATCTAGTATATCTTCTAAAGGAAACATATCTTCAAAATTCAATAAAATTTCAAATAAAGTCTCATTTTTTTTATGTTTAATGCATAAAGCTAAGATCGATTCACCCATTTCATTCCTGAATTTAAAACAGTCTTTGTAAAGTTTAACTTGGAAAGTACTGTGATCAGCCTCGCTTGAGATTTTGCTTATTAATTCTTTGTTTCTAATACAGTTTAAAACTTGTTTATTAAATTTTTCACCAGCTTGAAAATCTTTAAGGTAACACAAAGTAGCTTCGAATGTAGATATACCATAGCCTAGAAGTCCGAATTTGACATTATTTTCATCTGTTGAGAAGTTCTGTAAATAATATAGGTGATTTCTCAAGAAAGGTACCTTAGACCTACAAATAACCAATAGGAATAAATTCATTAATGTGTCTGCATCTACCATCAATGGTTCATAATGGACATCATCATAGCTCGTTAATTTTTGTAAGGCATCGATCAAAATCTGACATTTTTCTGAATGGGATTTGGAATCTATAATTTTTTTGAATTGATCAGTAGCATCTTTTACACATCTTTCTACTTTGATCACATTCACTAAATTAAATTTTTGAAAATTCTGATTATATAATTCCAATTCTAATTGATCAATTGATAAGAAATCCATCATTTCAGTATGCAAAAATTGATTGTCAATCATATTTCTATCTATGTGATCCCAAATCGAATTATAAAAGGACGATTCCAAATATTCAAATATTAGATTGTAAAGATCATTGTGAAATGACAAAAATATTTCTTCAAATTTCATCTTTTGATAAGCTTTATCGACAATTTCTCTAAAATAAATAGGTAAAGATGTTAAATTTAATTGCTTGTTTTTGAAATCTATAATGTAGGAATCGAATATATTGTTCCACTCTTTATGGATGTTTATTATATGACGAAATGAAGACTTTGTCTTTTGAGCCAGATCTTGAGATAATGGACTTTTATGGTTTGTTATCTGTGCAGCTTTAATGTTATTAGATTCCTTTTTGGAGATGTAAAAAGATTCAATTTCGATTTTTGGTAGCCATGAATTTGAAAATGGATAGTCAGTGTATATTATGGTATATTTCTCTGAACCGCTTAAATATTCATTGAAATTTGGTAAAATTTTAATATCGATAATTTTATATTTTTTCTTTTGAGTACTGTTATTAAAGTCTAAAGGAATTATATTATTATTTTTAATAAGCAGTTGGTTGTTATTTAAACTCTTATACCTGTTATCCAAAGTTTCATTTGAATTTTTCCCTTTAACTTGTAAATTATTACTGCTATTATCGGTATCAAGTATTATATGTGACGCTACAAATTCGAATTCATAACATAATTCTTTTAAAGTCAAGCCCTTTTCAGGATCTCTATAATGCAATAAAATTTCATTTGGAGGTACAATTAACATGAAATTTTTATATTTGATCCTCTCAAAGAGCTTTCTCAATGGGGAATTAATTGGATCAGGACAATTGAAAACAGCATTAATTAAAGGATTTAGTAATACAGGCATATGATATGATAATTCACCCATTTTAATATTTTTGTTATTATTAGTATTATAATTACTAGTGGTATCAATGATTTCCCCTTTTTTTTTTGGCCCTCTAGAAGTATCGATGTAGAATATAAATAAATTATAGATATAAATCTTGAAATATAGACAAACTGGAAATCAAGTTAAAATCCATTAAAAATGATAAAGCCCAAAATTTTTTAAAGAATTAACCCAAACTTCCTCCCTTGCTTCTTCCTTAATTTTCAACTTCTTGCTCTTGTTCTTAGCCAGTCTTCAAGACTTGACCACAACCTCCTGCTAAATATGAATATCAAAAAATTAAAGAAAACCCAATACTATAATTCAAGATATCCTTATAAAGTTTATAATCATCAACACTATGACAAATTAAAATAGAAATGAACTAAGCTGGACTCTAAACGAAGTTGAATGCTCTGAATTAAATCCAACCCATCCCATTCTAGCTTCATGAACCTTTTTTTTTTTTTGGCCTTACAAACTGCAAAAAAGAAATAATCACATTTGATGCCATGTTAATTTTTACATCAGATCAATATTTATTCCTAATTACGTAATTTCGTGAAATTTAGTGAAATTTTTCACATTTTTGAATAAGAATCAATGAGATGAGGTGAGACTGACTTTCTTGACCAGTTGATTGAGATTGAATTGGTTAATTAATTAGGGATAGTAGTGACATCTATTAGAGATTGGTTATTGTTTGTGCTGAGTATATATGAGTGATTGTCAGAGCTCAAGTTATTTGCAGAGTCAGTTCTTGTTATTTGGAGGTAAAAATGGCTAAAGGTAAGAATAAGCAACATGAAGCTAGAACTGGGAAACCTTCAAGAGGTTCTAATGGTCATAGTTCTAAGTTGAATCACAAGCATATGGAGATGAAAAAATATGGTAAGAATATTAGTCAAGATGATAAGTTTCCTGTTAAGTTAGCAATGTGGGATTTTGATCATTGTGATCCGAAAAGATGTAGTGGTAAGAGATTAGAAAGGTTGGGTTTAATTAAATCTCTAAGAGTTGGTCAGAAGTTCCAAGGTGTTGTAGTTTCTCCAAACGGTAAAGGTGTATTGTGTCCAAACGATAGAGAGATTGTTGAAGAATTTGGTGCCTCAGTTGTTGAATGTTCTTGGGCAAGATTAGATGAGGTTCCCTTTAATAAAATTGGTGGGAAACATGAAAGGTTGTTACCTTATTTAGTTGCTGCAAATCAAGTTAATTACGGTAGACCTTGGAGATTAAACTGTGTGGAAGCGTTAGCAGCCTGTTTTGCCATTGTAGGGAGAATGGACTGGGCGGCCGAATTGTTATCCAATTTCTCTTGGGGTCTTGGTTTTTTGGAAATCAATGAAGAATTATTGAAAATTTATCAGCAATGTACAGATTCTGAATCTGTTAAGAAAGCTGAGGAAGAATGGTTAGCTAAAATTGAACAAGAAATCCAGGAGAGAAAAACTCAGGCAAGAGAATCAGATATATGGATGATGGGTAACACTAACAGAAATATGAATGGGGATGACGATGAGGAGGAGGGAAATAGTTATGAAGCACTCTCTGGTGATGATTATGAGGAAGAGAATAATAACAAAAGTGCTAGATATGATAACCTAGGGAACATCATTGAAAGTGAAGAAGATTATGATGATTATGACGATGAAGAGGACCGTGTTGAAGTAAAATACGATTCCCTTGGAAATATTATTGAAAACAGTGATTATGAACAATATGAAGAGGAGAAAGAACTTAGATACGATTCTTTAGGAAATCTGATTGAATCAGAAGGAGAAATATCATCAGAAGAAGAGGATGAAGTAGGTGATGAGGATGAAGTTGACTATGAAGAAGATAAAATTGAACATAAAATGGAAAATCTAAAGGTATAAGATTATTACTAATTTACAAATTAATAACTAGTCCCATCAAAAATATTTTTCCTCTATTTATAAAGCTGTGACCGATAATTCTATTAATTCAATTAATCCTGTTTAGACAAAGGTAATAGAAAAATGCAGCTGTTTGGAGAGATGTAGTGTTATTTATTTTGAGCGTATGAGCAAAGTATTGATCTAATCTAGAATAATTTAAAATTAAGTATAAATATTGATTCAAATGTAATGGCATGAGCATTGTAAGAAAAGAAAATTTAATGATTTTTTGATTTTGATTGTATCTGTAGAAACATCCCTACCAACACTCTAATGGAATCATGTTAAAAAGAAAATTATATCTACAATATGATCAATAGATAGAAGAGTATCTATACAATATGGTGAAAATCTAAAGGGTGTTCCCGTAATTATACCATTGATGTATCCTTTTTTTTTCATATCTTGGAAAATTTGTGTCGTTGTCAAAGTTTCCAAAACTTTGAACCTATTTACTCCATTAAACAAGAATTAGAATTCAATTTATATCGTAACACTGTAATTCCATTATCTTGTATTAGTAATTCATACGGTTTCTTTGAGTATATGTTTTAATGTTGATATATGAAAATTTTTACTTTTGTCTGAATATACAAAAAATAAATCTAAATATTTCTAAAGTAACTTTCCGTCATTCTCATCATTAGTAATTAAAGTCTGACTGCTGTCATTGTAATCGAGACAATCAGCGAGTCATATTTACTACCATTAAATATCGTATGTAGTAACTTAGATACTGCATGTATCCATTCGGTGTTGCTTAACTACTAATAGCATGTAAAACTCTCAGTATATTCGGATATTGGTAAAAACAATGTAAGCCTTCTTTAATGAATTAATGAGTAATACATTATCAGTTGGTTATAGTTTTCTATGGTAATACTGATTAAAGAGGTAGAAAATCTCTCGACTTATATTGTCAACCTCATTCAACACAATACTGTATTATATATTGTCTACTTAATTATGTCTCAGATTATTCTGTTTAGCTGCATTTTATGAATAAAATGTAAAGAAGCTAGCAAGGAAGATAGTGTTTTCCCATATTTTCCCATACCTCTCATATCATTTTTAGATGACACGAATTTGGTAAAGCCAGTACTCTATTGTTGCTCAGGTTCTAATACTTAAACTAATATATATGTCAGTTTTAGAAATAGTAAGTTATATAATAGTCCTCAATAGGTTAAAATTTAGAATCGCCATTTTACATTGATTATTTGTAGCTCTTTCAGTTCTTACAAGTTGCTGACGCTGCATTTGTATTTTTGATAATACGACGAATGTGATAATAAATTTATATATTATATTCAATTTTTATATTTTACTTAGTTCTTATTTGTTATTAGAATGTCAAGTATAACAAATGTAAACAAAATATAAAAATAGAGTTCACTCCATTTTGAAACCTATTTTTATGCTTATAGAATCAATTTTGATAATGGAATAAAGGGAATATCACAAGAAAGTACAAACTATCAACACTATGAAACTTGGATTTGAATCCCTTTAGATATCTGTATATATCGTCACTATTTTAAGCTACCTCTTCTTAAAAGAGCGGTTTGAAAAATCCATTTAACCAACATTCAATGAAATTAAGAATTTTATATATATAAAAAGGTTAGTTCTAATTCACTAAATCAATGGAAGTATGCCTAGTTGGCTCAATAAGGTAAGGAATGCCGGTTAAATTGAAGTACCCTTGGATGGGAATAGCAATCCCATGTTTTCTCATTTCATTCATTGCCTATACAGCTCATTATTTTATATTATTAAATTTTCTATCAATTGGAAAACAGATATGGTTTGAGATCAGTGTGACAATGATATGGATATCGTATTACTTAGCAATTTACACCAATCCAGGGAAGCCAGGTTCCAATTATATCCCACCTTCCAATCAATGGAAGAACTATTGCAAAAAGTGCAATGCATATAAACCTGAAAGGACTCACCACTGTAAAACTTGCCAACAATGTGTTTTAATGATGGACCATCATTGTCCTTGGACAATGAATTGTGTTGGATACAAAAATTTCCCTCATTTTCTAAGATTTTTGTTTTGGGTTATAGTAACAACAACATACTTACTATATTTTTTAATTTCAAGAATAGTCTTTTTATGGAAATCAAGAAACTTACCTAGTTACCTATTCAACAAATCTGAAATAATATTTCTTACAATAACAACACCTATGGATGGGTTTGTTTTACTTACGATATCGTTATTATTTATACGTTGTACGGTGAATCAACTTTTATCAGGTAGAACTCAAATTGAAACTTGGGAAAACGAAAGATTAGAATCTTTATTCTATTTAAGAAGACTAAAACCTCAATTAATATCCAATTTATGGGAATTCCATCCTGAGCTTAAAACTCCAGATAATGAAGCCAAGGCAGAGAAGATAGTATCAAAAAGAATAAGATTTGATCTACTTGTTAGCTTTCCTTATGATCTAGGGTTAATAAACAATATCACAACTGTGTTAGGATCACCTGTAACATGGCTTTGGTTTTATGGTGAACCTTCTGGAGATGGAATGCTATTTAAGAAAAATGAGTACTCGTTATTTGAAGAAGATTCAATTCTGGAGGATCAAATATTATCCTTACCATGGCCACCAGATGGAGGAAAACACGGTTTCAATATTGAAAATAGTTCAACTAATAGCATAGAAACCTCAACAAAAGATGGCGAACATGTCATAAGAAAAAGATCACCAGTGAGTAAGCTCCTAGAGAGTAGAACTCAGTGGTATAATGATTGGGGTGAGAACTTAGAAGATTTTGGTGTCGATATCGATGTAGAGTAATCAATATTTATATTCACTTCAATTTTTTGGATTACAATTTAACTTTGATATCTCACTAGTAACAGACATACATCCCCTATAATACATCCCTGAAACGTAATGAAAAATATGAATAGAAATATACACATACATACATAATTTATTTTATAATGCATAATCTTATTTTTGTATCACATAATAATCAAAATTTAAAATTATAAACGAATTTAATTAGGATCAAATATAAACTTAAAAGACATATTTGATTATAAAGTTACAGTATCATCATTAATGGACAACAGATTCACTTTCTACTTCTTCTGTTGTAGTATCATTGCCTCTTTCCTCTTGATCAGGTTCTGCCGAATTGATAGGGACTTTTTGTAGGGCTGGTTGGGATGTTTCACTGGTACCAGTAGATTCTTGTTCCTTTTGAGTACTATCCGATGCATTTAAAGGAACTGAGGTAGTTTCTGAAGTAGCAGATCGGCTCCTTTGTTGGAAGGTACCGTTCTTTAAATCATTAAACTTCTGTTCAATTTTCGAAATAGCGTCTGAAGACAGCTGTCTCTTCCACCCGTGCTTACCATTTAAAAAGTTTTTACATCTATTTCTTCTAGTTTGCTTTTTAACCTTGTATGATTCACTAAAAACATCCACAGGAAATTTATTCACAGATTTACGTGAGAAAATGTCAAATGATCCTGGTTCTACTTCCAAACGATAGGTTTCTGGGTCAATTTTTATCATTAGGTTAGACTTAGAAACACCTTCTGGAGAATATTTAGGATTATCATCTTCGTCCTCCATATGGACTTGCTCTGATTCGATAACTTTATCCAAAAACGGAATCTTAATCTCCTCTTGTGGAATACCTTCTGTAGGATGAGATAATGAATAGGAGGTAATGTAATACTTCCATTTATCTTCTAAGGTTTTTGGTTCTTCCAAAGTAAGATCATCTAGAGCAATGTACTGAATTGAAATTGAAGATTTCTTCGTATTATATTCAATACGAAACATATGCTCTGTAGTAGACATATGGGAACGAGTTTGTAGACGATAAAGGATTTGATCCTTCGAGGTTGTGGAAGACGATATTCTGTCTTTCTCAAATAATGCCATTACGTCGGAAGACTTAGAATCAGTCATTATAGCATGCGCATGCTTAACTAATGATTGGATAACTTTATCAATGGTGTACAATTTGAATGCTCTATTTCTGTATGCTTGACGCAAACTTTCTTCAAACCATTGATGTTCTAGGTCACCTTCGATCAATCTTTTACTTAGAAGCAATAATTGGGTATAACTATCTCCTCCACTAAAATCCAATCCCATATTCTTCAATTGGGCCGAAATCAGATTTAAATCTTTTGCAAATTGAACAACCTTACGACCATTAATCTCTTTCGTTACCACATCATTTATATCCTTAACCTCATGTAACCTGTCATATATAGTTATCAAATTACGCATGAACACATACATGTTCACATTGGCAAACATATTGTATATTTTACGGTTTTGAATTAGCCCTTGTGAATTAGCTTCTTCAACTAAACTTCCTAACAACCAAGGTTTCTTAGCCTCTTGTCTTATCATTTCATCCATATCATCTTGTTCATTCTGACCTGGGGAAACTGCACCTAAGGAAGCTTCAGATGAATCCAAACTGTGTTTTAATCTTTGGTACCTGGATCTATTCAAAATATCACTTAAACAAATTTCAACATCTCGAGGACGCTTATTAGAGTTCTTTTTAGAGCTATTTTGTTCATTTTCATCAAGTTGTTTTCCATTGTCAATTGCAGCTTCGACTGCATCCTTGATTTCCCTAATCGGAATAGAGAAAAACAATCCAATGTAAGATTGTAAAAAGTCTCTTAGACGTTCCTTATCTGGATTAGAATAACTTGATGTATGATTAATAAAAACATCTGCTAAACGTAAGATGTCAAACAATACACGCTTATCTTTCACTTCATAATCTAGCTGACTCTTTGGCTTTGGTGTTAACCAATGAATCCTTTTATTAGTTTGGTCAACTTTAATACTGCTAATTTCTGCAAGTAATTGTTTTGTTGTTAATAATTTCTTATCAGATTGTTTGAAGGTTAAACCCAAATGATCTAGTGATTTGAAAAATACTTTTTGTTCCAACTCTCTCCAAACCTTATTCCATTCACGTTGAGCTCTCCTCCATTCTTTGTCTTTTTGTTTTAATCTTTTCAATACAACAGGAACCGCAACAGATGGGTACTCATGCAAAGCATCAATTATCTCAAAACCTCTTTCCTTATCGTAAACTTTCCTTATAACTTTTTGATAAATTGTTGTAGAGGTGTGTCCTAAACCTATTGGTAATTTGAAGGCCTGTTTTTCTTCTTCAGTCATATTTGCAATCTTGCTTGCAATTGTTTCCAATGTTTGAATAGTTCTCAAATTTGATTCAATATAGAAATCATATTCATGTCTTTCTTCTTCAATCTTGAAAAGAGTCTCCTCATATTGGTTTTTACGATGTGCAATGAAACCAGAATCTTCGGAAGCCCAAACAGGATGTCCTACCCATTCATCATTCAAAACTTCCCAACACATTTCATCTCTTCCTGAGCAAGGCATAAATGTATCTGTTTTCGGCAACTTTTTATAACTTGGCCCACAAGCCTCACATAAATCTAAATCTAATTTATGCTTCTCATGAACAACATTTTCAATATGTTTTGGTTTATCTTGAAATCCTACGAAGTTTTTAAACCAGTCAAACAATTCCTTATTAGAACCCAAATAGTAATCAACTTTTTCAATCAAATCATCTAAAGAAAGAATATCTTGAGAGTATAGGTTTAAAATCTTCAAAAACTCAACATAAACCTGTTTATTACCAATAAATTTCTTTGCTTTGTCAAAGAAGTTTGCTTCTTCAACTAGGGACAAACTTTCTTCAATTGGCTCGGTAGGTTCTGGAATTACAGGAACAATACTAGGGTCCAAATCGATTTCTGGTCTTACAATCCCTTCTGTGGCATATGCAGCTTCTAATTGCATTTGCTGTTGTTGTTGTTGTTGTTGCTGCTGCTGTTGTTGCTGTTGCTGTTGCTGTAGTTGGGCCAATTCAATTGGTGTATAATTATGTACATGATTATTATCGATTATTTGGGACCTTAGATCTGAGATTGGAATAGCTTCATTAGTCATTGGCGCAATATGTTGTTGTGCATGTAATTGTGCATGCTCGGTAGGAGCTTGTAACATTGATGGTAGTGCCATCATATGATGTTGGGCTTCTGTTGAAAATTCCTCAGGTCTTCCTGGAACAGCACCGTTAGATGGTGGTGAAAAGTTACCTAGTGGTGGTAAATTCTGATTAGCAGATGGAATTTTACCAGCTTGATAATAACCATTATTGACCCCATACATTGGTTGCTGCTGTTGAGGTAAGGCTTGTTGCTGTGGTTGCACTGGTTGTTGAGTAGTTACTGAAGGAGATGAATCTGGTAAAAATTTCTTAAAATCGTCTAACAAATCAGGAGCATTTTGGAAAAGTACCGTGACTTGAGCATATACTTCACTAATAGGTTTTTGCTCTCTTTGATAAGTTTGAAGGATTTCTAGGAAATGTTTATAAATATCAGGTTGATCTGCAAATCTATTTTTGATCTTATTAACATAACTGACCGCTTGACTAAACTCGACGTCTGCTGGCTTTTCGATCTGAGTAGTGCCTTGAATGTTATTAGCTACGGTAGTGCCTGGTACTGTTCCTGCAGGTATAGTTGATGATGGTGAAGAGATTCCTGTGTTTGTATTAGAAACTTGCAAGACAGCAGGTTTTTTTGATTCAGCATCGGCTGTGGTCACAGCGGCATGTGCAGTAGCAACTACTGGAGCAGGAGCAACTGTTGGGCCAGCAGCAGGAGCGGGAGCCGGAGCTGGGGCAGGAGCCGGAGCAGTAGTAGTTGTGGTAGCGGCAGTATTATTGGCGGCAGCAGTTGGAGCAGTAGCAGTAACAGTTGCGGTAGAAGCAGTAGCCGTAGTAGCAGGTGTAGTGGCAGTAGAAGTAGGGGCGACAGTTGTGGAAGGAGCAGAAGGAGACGCAGAAGCTGGTTTTGCGATACTACTATTTGTTACTATTTGAGAACCCAATGGAGTTGTGACTTTGATAGGGTCATCTGGATTTGAAGAGCACTCGATGGTATAACCTTGAGGTAAAAAGGTGTTAAAACCTTGAATTAAGTTTGGGTAACCTCTAAACAGAGTTGAAACTCTTTCTATAACGCCTGGGGTATCTATTGATTGAGATTTGAAATCTTTCATGATATCGAGGAAATGGTTATAGATATCTGGTCTTGAATTAAACTGTAGTTTTACTTGTTCCAAATAAGTCAAAGCATCTTTTACATTTAAGGGTCTATAGTATGATCCATCAGCTTGCTGTTGCTGTTGCTGTTGCTGTTGCTGCTGTTGGAGATGCGCAGCAGGAGCAGGAGGTAGAGGGTTATCGAAACTAGCAACTGATAGAGTTGTAGATGTTTTCGGTAAATTTGGTCTTGATAAAGAGCTTGAGTTTTCCAATTTCACGCCAGTGTTTGGAGTATTTGACGTTGACGAAGGTGTCGTATTAGTAGATTTATTATTACTTTGTTGCGATATATTGGTAGTATTTTCAGGGTTAATATTTGAAAAAGAAGGCAACACTACATGCTGCTGCTGTTGTTGTTGATTTTCATTGTTTGAGGTATTTGAAGTACCGTTTTGATTCCAAATCTGGGACATTTTGTTGTAGTTGTGATGATATTGTATCAGTATATATATATATTCAAATAAGTGAGGAAGAGATAATAAAAAAAAAATAATTTTTTTTTTTTCTTCTCTTCTAATTTCTTATTAGTATGGGATATACAGTTGAGTGTGAATTTAGGAAAAAAAATAAATAAATACACAACAGAGAGATATACCCGCAAATAAACGGAATGTTTGAGAATATATGGATACGAGTAGTATAGATGAGATAATTGAACCTAACCTTCACCGACCCCTTTAGTGGAAACAACACAGTGAGCTGTATATTAGACCAGACAGATAGGCTTTTGTAATTGGAATATGGTATATATATATATATATCCAGAATTTTTGTAAGACGATGGATATAAGACCTACCAACCAAAAGAAAAAAAACAACAAAGAGAAGACACGAGATAGATCAAAAGTGTCCTTTGAGTGTATATCAGTTGGAGGAATAGAAAGATGCAATTGTAAATTGTAAATTGTAAATTCTAAAATGTGATTTGTAAAAAGCTATGATTCAGTTCTTTTGGTATATGTTGGAACGAACCATATGAGTACAGAGAGACCGAGAAGCACAGAGGTAGATAGACCAACAAACAAACAAACAAACAAACCAATAGGAATATATATATATGAATATATATGTAATGTGTGAGTGTGTGTGGATTTGGTGAAGTTGAAGTATGCTGTATTAGCTTTGGTGAACCCGAAGCAGTGGATATATAGGAACAGCTAAGTCTGGGTTTGAGTATAAACTTGGATATAAGTTTTAAATTCTGAATTCCAAATCGAAAATCGAAAAATCGAAACCGAGATAATTCAAGTTAAAAATTGACCAGCGTCTAAATATACCTTTTCCAGTTTGTAAATGTATTTGTAAATGTAAATGTATTTGTGAATTGTAAGTTGTAGTAAATTCACTTTCACTTTCACTTTCACTTTCACTTTCACTTTTACAATTACAATTACAATTACATTTGTTTGCAAAATTTCTTTCTTGCTTGTTCGAACGTATTGCACAATCTGGAACTGTTTCTTGTTGCGATACCACAGACGGTAGCTACGAGACGTGTGAGAGTGAGAGTGAGTGTGAGTGGGGGAAACTACAAAAGTTTCCCTTTCCCTTTCGGTGGGAGTCGCTGTGCACGGCGGGTGTCGTCGTTGGTGATGACGGTTGGTGGAGGGGAGCGGACGGAACGAGAGGCAGAGGAGAGGAGGGAGCCCTGTGTGTGTCGGCTGTAACTGGGACAGAGAGGCAGAGGCAGAGGCAGAGGCAGAGACAGAGACAAACAGGCACGCAAGAGACAGAGAGACAGCCGGTCGTCTGTAGCGATGACTCTGATGGCCACAGCACGTCCCAAAACAAAGTTGTTTCTTGCGCTGTTCAGTTTCAGCTCAGCTTGGTTTGGGTCTCTTCAAGATAAGAGCACTGTCTGGCAGAGGTATCTGTTTAACCACCACACCAGATGCTGTTGGCTATAACTGGCATTATTTAAGAACTCATACTCACTACACTACACTCCATCCTTGTCTCTTGTCTCTTGTCTCTTGTCTCTCACATGTCACATCTTAACCGCCACCCACTCACTCACACGAAAGAGTCCTTCTCTCCCCTTTTATTCTGCTCTGCTCGTGGTCGCGTGATTCCAAATTACGAAAATAGAACCACATATAATCCAAATCACGTGCGCATAGCAGGGTAACTATACGCCTCTTCTGTTTGCTTTTTTGTTGTTCGTGCTCGACGATGCCACCGCTCTGTCTTGTTCGGCCCACACACACACTTCTCTCTTTATTTCCATTTTTCGATTAATCCAATTCAATTTGCTTCACTCTTGAACCACATCGACTTTAACTGCACTTGGTATCAATACAATACAATACAATAACTCGGCTCTTCTCTTACTCTCACAAACTTTACTGATTACATATCAATCATATATCTTGGCACATTTTACTGGTTATTGTACTTTATCACATTTTATAATTACCTTCCCTTCCATCTCAATCACACACATATATATACACCCCCATACACACACCACTTCATGAACGCCCCAGATAAATTCGAACTATTCTTACTAGGTGAAGGTGAATCAAAACTAAACATCGAACCTGATACTAAAGCTCCAAACGCTGTAGTAATAACATTCGAAAAAGAAGACCATACCCTAGGTAACCTGATCAGATCCGAATTGCTAAACGATTCAAAAGTTTTATTCGCAGCTTACAAAGTAGAACATCCTCTATTCGCAAGATTTAAACTGAGAATCCAAACTGTAGAAAATTACGACCCAAAAGATGCTCTCAAAAACGCTTGCAATAACATCATCAATAAATTAGGCATATTGAAAACAAATTTCGAAACCGAATGGAACTTACAAACTCTAGCATCTGATGAAAATTTTTAATTGTAATCTATACCAATAATATGCATATAATAAAGAAACAATAACTTTTACTTCCTTTCCTTTCCTTTCCTTTCCTCTTCCACCTCCCCATCCCCCTCCCCCACACACCCGCAACTAATATTGGGTAATTAGATAATTAAGTAAATTATAGAACATACCCACCCGTCTAAAAAACAATTAGAATTTGTAATTATTATATATCTAATAATATATTATATTTTATTCCACTTTGCCCTATTCTTTTGCCAAGGACTCACACACTCACTCACTCACATATATACAATCGGCGTCACTGGAAATCGAGCTGATGAATTTATTTATTACTATTAGTACTATGATAAATGATGATGATTACTATAAAAATATATATATTTAATGAAATAAAGAATTGTGATAATGAAATGTTGTGTTGTGTGTTTGGTATCTATATTATATGACTTCCATTAACGCAATTGTGTTTGTTCTACTGTTACAATCGAAGATTTTTGTTTTAATCCTTCTTTAATTAATGAAATTTTTTCAATAAATTTACTTTCTGGGTATCCTGGTATTTCACCAATTTTTAATATTTCAACTAATGGAAATGTTAAACTTTCATGTGATGGCGAAATATACGTTACTAATTTACCACCATCACTAATAGCAAATTTATGATGATCTTTAAAATTAAATTGAAATGTACCATCGCTTAATTCAAACATAACAAACTGTTTATATCTTGTATACCTTCTTAAAAATACATCATCTTTGTGATATTCTTCACGAACAAACGTCGAAACTCGACTTAAATTAGCCCTCATATATTTAGAAAAAAAATCGATTACTTCTAAATGCCTCGTTAACTCTCTTGGCTTATCTCCTAATAAATAATGACTGGCTACCCAGCCTTCTTTGTCATCATAACTAATATACCAAAATTCTTCAGCATCTGCTAATCGAAGCACAGTAGTACCATTATTAAATAACACACCAATATCTTCCGTAGACAATTGATATGAAAAACCATGCTTATTAGAATAATCTACCCATTTAGTCACCACTATCGGATGTCTAATCTTAGGTAACCTTGACTGTGGTAGACCACCCATCTTCTTTTGAGCTTCAGCTTCTAGTATACCATTTAAAGTTAAATGACACTCGCTTGCCAAAATCCTTAACGATATTTCTGATTTAATTAAATTAGTAGATGTAGCCACTAAATCTTTCCTTATCACTGCTTGATGTGCTCTACGTACTCTGGCTTCGCGAGCTAAATCATTCAATTTACGTTGGGCCTCCAAATCCATGACTTCTCTGTATTTATATTTAGTATCACCCGGTGATAGAGAATCTGGTAGGATATTTGTTCTAATGATTTGCTTTTTATCCACTTCAGAGCCCAATAATGACACTGGATCTTTATTGATATTCATAGAGTCTTCAATTAAACCTGACTTCTCTAGACATTTTCTGAAATTAATAATCGATTCTTGATGTGTCAATGTTTTATCATAATTTGGTACTTCTGTCATCACTGTTGATTCTATATATGGTGGGAAGATACCCCTAAACCAAACGTAATCCATAATCTCCGAGATTGAAGGTCTTTCTAGAGGATCTAATGATAATAAATCTTGAATCAATACTTTTGCTTCATTTGAAATATGTTTTTCCTTTGGGAAAGAAAAATCACAACATTTAATTCTTTCATAAATGGTATTTACATCTTTTGATTGAAATGGTGGTTTACCTATTAACAAAGCGTACAACATTACACCAATCGACCAAATATCTACTTCATAAGAATGACCAGAATGTTTACCCATGAGTACTTCAGGAGCAATGTAATTTGGGGTACCACAGACGGTATATTTTCTTTCCCTATCATTTGCCAATACTGCAGCTAAACCAAAATCACCAATTTTTAAGTTATAATTTCTATCAAAGAAAATATTACCTAATTTTAAATCTCTATGGATAACTCTTCTTGAATGCATGTATTTAATTGCACCACATATTTGAGTTGTAAAAAATCTAACTTCAGGTTCAGTTAATAGTTTTCTTTTCTTTAAAAGATCCATTAGGGAACCATTTGGACAAATTTCCAAAAGGATGTATACATTTGTATCATCTTCAAAACAATCTATAAACTGAACGACATTTTGATGTTTCATACTTTTATGAATTTGTATTTCAGATAATAATTTTTTCCTTGTCTTTTCAGATTTAATTGATAATTTAGCTACAGTTTTAGCAGCAAAAATCTTACCACTATCATCTTTAATTTGGAAACAACGGGCAAACCCACCTTCACCTAAGAAATGGCCTCTATGATAATCTCTACCTCTTGTTTTAATCAAAGAAGGTGGTGTTTTACAAAGTGAAGATAGCTTTTCCTTTTTCTTCTTTTGTGCAGGTTGTTGATGCTGGTTTTGGTTCTGTAAATAATCTTGATCTAACCTTTTACCATTTTTCAGTAACTTTTCTCCTGTTTGATCAGATTTGACAGGAGTTTGTACAACATTGGAACGAGCATTCAATTGTTGCTCATTGATTGATTGCAATGGAGCCAATGACATGATTGATATAAATATAATTTATTATTCTCTCTATCAGTCTAGATCTCCCTCTGTCTCACTCTCTCCTTTTCCAGATATATGTATATATAGATATTTTGCAACAGTTGAAAATGAGTGCTTGCTTTATATTGATCTCCTCCTAACTTTACCTTCTTTACTTGACTTGAAGTAATGAATCTGTGGGTATAGATATATGGATATGATATATATATGTAAATGTGTATATACCGGTGTGTCTTATACCTCTTGAATGTGGTTGTTTGAGAGTAACAATAGTTGGTTTGGTTGGTATAAGATAGTCTATTCTGTTTAAAAATATACGATCTTTAAAATAGAATGGGCTTTTAAAAGTGAATTGCAAAAATGAAGGCAGCAATATTTCGAATGTTGTGGGAAAGCTGGTATAATATAAATGAGATCAGTATTCAGATTGTAACAAACAACAAAAAGATATTTTCCATAATTGGAATAAATTAAGCATAAATGAAAACAATAAAGTAACAAGAAGGGAGTAATTATAGGATTGTATTGTTAACAATAGCAAACAAGAACAGTTCTGCAGACTCGAATGTCAATAGAAAAACCCAATTAGCTTAGCAATTGCATCAAAAGTCACAAACAAAACAGTTCATTAAAGCAGAGGAAGGTTCAGTTTGTTATTTGATGGTACAATTTTTTTTTCAATATAGGTTTGTTTTGTTTTCATGTTGCCTAATGGGGAAATATCTTTAAATATCAATTATTTTTTTTTCAAAAGGAAAGAGATGTATCACCCGGACACTGATCACATGTCACTGGGAAGTATCATGTGATCAGACACAAATTATAACTATTACAATAATCAATCTTTATAAGTACTAACTACACTGTAGGGTATCATAATACAACAGTATGGCTATAAACACACACACAAACAAACACCTATATACATATAGACACTCAGTCATATACAGCAAGAACAATGTTGTAATATTCGATGAGAGCTAGGCAAGAGAACTAAAAAATCCAATAACCAAATCAAACAAAGTATCATAAGCACAAGGTAAGATATCCTTTTACAACTATTATGCAGCAGTTTTCATCGAAAAATCTTGTTAAAAATCGATGTCAATGTATACATTCAAACCAGTATAGAGAAAGACAGACACACTATATATTACATTTAATACCATACCATAGACGTTTTTTCTTTTACTACTTTATTCACCTCTCTAATTAAACGGGCAAGAATGAAAGTGAAAGTAGTGATTAACTAGTGCTTTCTTCTATTTCCTCCCCATACTAAACAGACCATTATTTCCAACATACCTTTAATGATCTTGTCTATTTGTTCTTTTTAAGGTTCCTTTAACTTTGGAATGTAACAGGGGGGGGGGGGGGGGGGGCTAGAAGTTGATTCAGTACATATTATTGCTATTTTTTCTTCTGAATATGTAGATAATAAGATAACTGTTCTGTGGTTGGGTGAGTGTGGGTGTGTATGTATATATACATATATATTTATATTCTATTTTATATCCTTGTTATATAGACGTAGTTTCAAATGTCCAAGTACCTAGTATCGTAAGGGTCTATATCGTGTGTTGCGTTGGCAGGAAGCTGGTGTGTCTGGACTAAGTCCCTTCTCTAACGGCGCTATCATTCTCAGATAATAGGAACAAGGCGACGAAAGAGAAAAAAAATTAATTAAAAAAGAAACGAAGAAACAAAAATTAATTTGATCAAGAATTTCAATTGATATTTTAAACTTAAACTTATAAAACCTCGATGGTTTTATACTAAAACAATAATCGGTATATCAAATTCTATTACCAATCAATTGTATAGTATATATCGTATTTGGCTTCGGCGGTTTGAAGAAACAGCAAATATCAAGAATCAGGAAACAAAAATCTTAAGAAAAACAGCAGCATCTCCATTAATAAAGACATAGAAGGAAGAGTAATTGATATAATATAATTTAATATACGCACGTACAATATTTGTTCAATGACTGTTGAGAGAAAGAAGAAAACCCAAAGTAAGAAAACTAATGGAAAGATTAAGAAACCTTTAGACGATAACTCTTCGGATGACGACGATATACCTTTATCCAGATCCTCTAAAAGGGAATCGAAATCCACCCTAAAATCCAACAAGAGAAGAATAAAGGTCGAGGATGATGAAGAAGAAGAAGATGAAGTAGACAGCGATACCACTCTGTCTCAAATGTCTGAAAATGGGAAGAACGACTCAAAATCCAAATCCAAACCAAAACCAAAATCAAAATCAAAACAAAGCAAGAGATTAAAAACAGAAGATAATTCAAAAACTATTGTTAAACCAGAGAGTCCAAAGAAGAAACAGGTTGAGAAAATTTCAACTAAGAAGGAAAATGGAAATACTAGTAATACTAATAGTGAGAGTAATAGTAACAGCAACGATGAAGATGGTATTGCAGATGATGATGAAGACGAAGAAGCTGAAGAATATAAATGGTGGGAAGATAATGATGATAATGGAGAAATTCAATGGACTACTTTAAGACACAATGGTGTAATGTTTCCTCCTCCTTATGTATCATTACCTTCTCATATCAAATTATATTATAATGGACAAGCTGTAGACTTACCACCGACTGCTGAAGAAGTCGCTGGGTTTTTTGCCGCTTTGCTGCATACAGATCATGCTAAAAATACTGTATTTCAAAAAAACTTCTTTACTGACTTTAAAGAAGTCTTAAAAGAAGTTGGTGGTACTCTGAATGGTATAAAGCTTGAAAAATTCGAATATTGTGATTTTTCAAAAATGCATGAATATTTCGAAATTCAAAGAGAACAAAGAAAAAAATTGAGTCCTCAAGAGAAAAAACAACTTCGACTAGAAAAAGAAGAACAGGAAGAACCATTTAAATTTTGTGAATTGGATGGTCGTAGAGAACAAGTCGGAAATTTTAGGGTAGAACCTCCTGACCTATTTAGAGGTCGTGGTGCTCATCCGAAGACTGGTAAACTTAAAAGAAGAGTTTATCCAGAAGATATCGTATTGAATTTGGATAGAAATGCCCCTATTCCTGCTGTCCCAGAGGGACACAAATGGGGTGAAATTAAACACGATAACACAGTTCAATGGCTAGCAATGTGGAGAGAAAATATTTCTAATTCTTTTAAATATGTTAGATTAGCTGCCAACTCTTCTTTAAAAGGTCAAAGTGATTTTAAAAAATTTGAAAAGGCAAGAGAATTAAAGAAATACATTGACTCAATCAGAAAAGATTACAGAACGAATTTGAAGAGTAAATTAATGCTTGAGAGACAAAAAGCAGTAGCTATTTATTTGATCGATGTGTTTGCATTAAGAGCTGGTGGTGAAAAATCAGATGATGAAGCAGATACAGTTGGTTGTTGTTCTCTGAGATATGAGCATGTTACTTTAAAACCTCCAAATACCGTAATATTTGATTTCTTAGGTAAAGATTCCATTAGATTTTATCAAGAAGTTGAAGTCGATAAGCAAGTGTTTAAGAATTTAGCAATATTCAAAAGAGCACCAAAGAAACCAGGTGATCAATTATTTGATAGGTTAGACCCTCCAATTTTAAACAAACATTTGCAAAATTATATGCCAGGGTTGACAGCGAAAGTGTTCCGTACGTACAATGCTTCCAAGACAATGCAAGACCAATTAGATTTGATCGTCAACAAGGGTTCAGTTGCTGAAAAGATGTTACGTTATAATGCCGCCAATAGGACCGTTGCTATATTATGTAACCATCAACGTAGTGTTGGTAAGGGACATGCAGAAGCTGTTAGAAAAGCGAATGAAAAGATAGAAGAACTTGAATGGCAAAAGATTCGATTGAAAAGAGCTATATTACAACTTGAACCAAAAGAGATGAAGAAAAGACCTAAATTTTTTGCTGAGATTGGCGATTTAACTAAGGAAGATGAAGAAAGTATCCATAAGAGAATAATCGAAAGAGAAATTGAAAGATGCCATCGTAAATTTCAAAGAGAAAACGACAAGCGTAAGTTCGACAATGAAGAGCTAATTAAAGAAGAAGAGCTTAAAGAATGGTTAGACAAAGTGTCTGAAACTGAAAAGAAATACTCATTAGAAGTGGAAACTGGAGAAGTTGAAATTAAAAGCACATTGAATACTGTTGAAAAATTAGAAAAAAATATAGAAAAGTTAGAACAAAGAATACAAACCAGTTCGATCCAATTGAAGGACAAAGAAGAAAACTCCCAAGTCTCGTTAGGTACCTCTAAAATCAATTATATCGATCCAAGATTGTCAGTAGTGTTCTGCAAGAAATTTGACATCCCAATTGAAAAAATTTTCACGAAATCACTAAGAGAAAAGTTTAGATGGGCTATAGAATCAGTCGATGAGAACTGGAGATTCTAAATAAAATCAACATAATTGCCAATATCATATCATAGACCTCCCTCCCATTCCTCCCATACCTCCCCGCCAACTTTCATTCCCTCTTTCACTAAGTTAACCTTGGTCATCATACAGATCAGTATATTTCCGGTTTCTTTTTATCATTATGGTGTCAATTCTATGATGCTTCGATTTGAACCTTCTTTGTTCGTTGACATTCTCTGTAGGTAACAGGTAATAGATCATGAGATCGTAATGTAACGTCATGTTACGTTGCCTATAACACGAAACCACGAAACAGAAATTACCTTTCGCGAGCCATCACACATTACGAACGCACTATAATCGCCAAATTTATCCAACTCGTTTGACCGATTTTTCGTTCAGAAACGAGAAAAGTATAAAAGGCAGTCACGAAATTGGATAAACGCAAAAAAAACAGCAAAACTATTTTTCTCTTTATCAGGAAAAATAAATTGCCGCCATCATAGCATACAGAAGTCAGTCCTCGAACGTTGTACTGTTCTTCTCCTTTTAATATATATACATTTTTCTCACTCTCCCATTTTCCATCTCATCCTACACCATTTTCTAGATTTCTTGATCAAATGAGATGGTAACGGTCACTCTTTAACCATGCATTTTAATTGTCCATGCTAAGGCTGATTTGATATGCAATTAGCGTATTTCTTTCACCTTCCACTCCCCCTCCAATCCCTCGTTGGCGTATACGTGTATACTTTTGGCTGGGCTTGATATATATATATAAATGCATCTATCTATTTCTGTATGTAAAGGATTTTGATATTGTTATATATATATGTGTGTGTGTGTATCGCTTTTTAGTATAGATAGAACGTTCATTGATCACCACAAGAAATCTGAATATATCATTGATAGTATCAAATTGAAAAGAAAGCAACGTTATATATAGATATAATGGATACTGTATTGAAAAGAGGACTTCCAAAATTGGTCACAAGTACTAGTACTAGTACTAGCACAACTAGTACCAGTAGCTCTAGTGTCATTTCCACTAGCAAAACGACCAGTACCGTCACTGGTAGTTCAACAACTTTTACAAGCATATCTACTAGCATGATAACTAGCAGTTCTGCCAGCAGTAGTCTAAGCAGTAGTAGTACAACAAGTTACAGCCATTCTGTATGGATCCCATCAGCCACAAATAACAAGTATATAAGAATCCCTGATAGGGTTGACGGCACTGTTTTCATTGCAGTGGGGAGTTGTTTAGGTTTTGTAATCGGTATAATTTTGATACTTTGGATGTTTTTAACATTTAAAGCTTGGAGAAATGCACGCAAAGAGAGTAAAATACGATTACTTGAAAACAAATACAACCCATACATGGGCGATCACTGGGGCAGCATGGAGTCGATTGATTACTCGCACACACAAAAGAAACCATTTGATATTGAGAGTGGATCATCGATTGTATCGAGTGAAAGTGAGATGATGGCTAGTTTTGTTGAAAAAGAGTATAACTTGAGCCATAAAAAATCAGCAATGTCATTGAATACCCTTTTCGTTTCACCAACGTCACATATCATGGGGCCAACATCTACAGTTGGCAGCACTACTACTACTAATACTACGAATATAATACCTACCAGTGTAATAAATCTGAATAGCGGTGTCGGCGGTGCTGGTATTGAAGGTAACATCAATAACAAGCCATTTAGACCACCGTCAGTCCACTTGGATGAGCTTCTAGACAAGGAGTTTGGCGATGGAAAGTAGCTATTGTAATATATATAGAGTACGTAAATGATAAAACAATGAATGCATAGACACCTAGATGACAGATTGTCACCAAGTCAGGACAAGAACAAGAACGAGGTCCATTATTTTTTATTTTAATCAATTGAGTATATTCCTTTATTGGGATCTAACAGAGTAGTCGATGAGTGTTGTCATAAGCAAATGTGTCATTGGATTTAGAGACGTTGTTCCGTGTCAACATTGTTTTAATAGCCATGGCGCATAATAGAGAACCAGAGACACACACACAGATACATCACATGACTAGCCGTAATAAACGACAACAAAGCCACAAACCACAAAAACCGCTCTCCCCCCACCCGGTTTCTCCGAGATCGGACTTACACTCCCTCGGCATCTCGGCCCTTCCTCTTCCTCCCCTATTTTTTGTCTTGTTCTCCAGCACCTTCCAGAAGGAAATCCACAGTTACACTCTTACACCGCACACATTACAACTAAAGCAAACCAACGTTACCCGGCTATTGGGTAAGAAACCACCGCACAAACCGCCGCTAGTGCCTCCGAATTTAAAAAAAATTTGTAAGAATCCCAGAAAAAGAAAAAATTAAAAGAAACTCGAACACCATACTATACCAGACAGAGCCTCCAGATCTTCATCATATATAAATGAAGGGCCTTTTTTTTTAACAAATGATTCCCATTACAATTTTGTCCAATTATTCCAAAAAACACCCAATCGTGCTCATCCAGTTGATAAGAATCAATCTATTGCAGTAAGGTCCAGAATTAACACAGTTAAGATTTCCGTTTCCATACCTTAAAGTTAGGCTAAGTTACGTTTAAATTTTAATTTTAATTTCAAATCAAAACTTAACATCATCTCATATAATAAATAATGGCTCGTTCAAGAGGTTCCGGTGGCAGATCTAGTGGTAGATCAAGTGCTTTTGGCTCAAGTGGTCAATCTCGTTCAGCTTCTACTGCTGCCATGCCTTCCATGAGCAGACAACAACCTGCTCCTGCCCAACAATCAAATGCCTACTCTCAACCTCCTGCTACTACTGCTGCCCAACCAAGGCAACCGGGCATGTTTGCTCAGATGGCTTCTACTGCTGCTGGTGTCGCTGTCGGTAGTGCTGTAGGCCACACCATCGGTGCTGGTATCACAGGAATGTTCTCAGGCAGTGGCAGCAACGAGTCAGTACAACAACAACAACAACAACAGCAAAATGTAGCTCCTATGAGTGATCAAGGTTTTGCTCAAGAACAAGTGAAAACTTGCGATGTTGACGCTAAAAACTTCACTCGTTGTTTGGACGAAAACAACGGTAATTTCCAAATATGTGATTACTATCTACAACAGTTGAAAGCTTGTCAAGAAGCTGCAAGACAATATTAATCTCGTTCAAACAATGGATTAATTGTAATTTGTCTCCAAATTTCAAAAAAAAAAAACAAATCAAACTTGTTAATAATATAGGTCACACTGCCTTACCAAAAAACCATATTTTATTATATTCTGCATAAAGTTCAAACAAAATATTTCTGTTGTCTTTAAATTTTTTTTTATTTTGGATGGGATAGAGAATTAATATGAAAGCTAATCCATGAACGTCTATTCTATCTACAGGTGCGCTTATGCCAGAGCAATTATTATACACTCATATATATTATACATCATTATTCTTTATTATTATTATTATTAATATTATATACAGATTAAAAAATAATTTTACCTCTAACTCTGACTCAAACTCTAACTCTAACTCTAATTACTGACACGACCACGCTTGATGTCAAATATCCTCTTCTCAAACGCTTTCATCACCAACGTAGTGGCACTCTTGGCAAATATACCAGAAACTGTGTTGTATAACGCTGACTTGAATTGGTATTTCAACGACAACCGTATCTCTGTACAGTTCTTACGGTTCGTATGTGGTCTAATTGTCCACTGTGAGCTCAAAAAATAGAATAAATTATGGGATATCGACTCAGCTACAACTGTATATTTATCAGACTTGGCATCCTCATTGCATTGAACATCACAAACAAATTTATCGTCATACTGTTGAAATCCAATCCTAAGCCCCGCTTTAGTTGGTCGTCCCTCATTGGAATCACGTAATTGAACAAAGGATTCTTTGCAATACGGAAGAAACTCGTGATATCTCGATACTTCACTAATCACATTATAAGCCTCACGACTACTACAATACATAGTCTTGTCTAAAACATACTCTTGGTGACGTTTGGCCCCAACATTGCTAAATAGTGTCCTTCTACCAATCGCAATTGCTCTTCCATCAACTCGAAGTCTCTTTAACATCTCTCTGTCCTCATACAATCTTACTAAACGAATACTAGTTTTTAAAACCAAAAGACTACTTGGTCAATAGACACTTTACAAACTTAATTAACACTACCCAAACTTGTACTTATAACCTGTCAGTTTAAACAAAACTGAAGTGTATATTCCTCATTGCAGGTGCAAACCTTATATCATCGATATATTAAACGTTGAAACTTTTTTAAAGCTTTGAAATTGATCAAATATTTTAAAAGCCTATACCTTTAACTGAATAACAAAGGTAAAAGCATTGAAGTTAGTACTTGGTGCTACAGGAGAGTAAGATAAGCCATTAAGAGTGTTCGTTATTAGTATTATGATGAATATCCTTGAAGATATTGACCCTTGGAACGCCAATGGGAGATCGAATAATGATCATTTTAAGCCTACTTTAGCAACAACGACAACGACAACGACAACTACTGCTCCCATGGCAGTACCATCTTATGATGAATTATCTGGGGTTTTATCAAAGAATGAAGTTTTGGATGGGTCTATATGGGGGGAACCTGCTCAGAAACCTGTCCAAGAGGTTAAAAAATCGAAGGATGATGCTCCTGGTGCTACAAGAGTTACATCTTTGGTCAATGAACAAGCAGAATTTGAAAGTTGGTCAAAAAGTTTAAGGAAATCATATAATCCTTTAAGTATAGATTTAATCACTGTCGAGGAAATCCCTGAAAGAGAAGGTATGCTGTTTAAACACACAAATTATTTGGTTAAAAATTCTTTGGATATGACATCAAGTAATAATTCAGTGGTCAGAAGGTATTCAGATTTCATTTGGCTACAAGAAATTCTGATTAAAATATATCCATTCAGGTTAATACCTGAATTGCCTCCAAAAAAGATAGGTAGCTCTCAAAATTTGGATAGGGTCTTTATGGAGAGAAGAAGAAGAGGGTTGAAAAGGTTCATCAATCTAATTTTGAAACATCCATTGTTAAAGAATGACAAATTCGTTAATATTTTCTTAACTTTTAATTCTGATATCAATTCGTATAAGAAACAAAATAATTTTAATGCTGAAGATGAGTTGACCACCAAAGAGCTATCACCTTTCTTTAAAAAGATTTGGAAAAAAGAATTTGCTGAAAATTGGAATATCGCAAATAATACTATTGATAAATTGATTAATACATGGACAAAAATTGCTGTGATGGTAGAAAGATATGAGAAAAGATTAAAACAGATTGCACATGAGAAATCCGCTTTGAATTCTTTAATTAACGAACTAACCGATTTAACGCCAAAATTATACCCAGTTGAGCATAGCGATACAATTTTGGATATAAATAACCATCTAGGAATAGTCAACCAACATCTAGTAGGTTCTGTAGAGCTGACTCATGATACTACCGCTGAATATACAAGAATTTTAATACCAAAATTTAAAATATTCGTAGACATATTAGTGTCATTAAAAAATCTATTTGAGAGGTACCGAATGCTAGGAGGCAATAATATTGCACAACTTTATAAACATGTTCAAAACAATACAGAAAAGTTAGAATCTATGAAGGGCAAGCCTGATTCAAGTGGTGCAGAATACGATAAAATAAGAACAACTATCTCTGTAGATAAAAAAAGCATAATGGAGCAATCCAATAAAGCATGGTTGATAAGAGAATGCATTCTTGAAGAATTCATTATTTTCCAAGAGACACAATTTCTGATCTCGACTGCCTTCCAAGATTGGGTAAGACTCAACTCCAATTTTGCTGGTCTTAATATGAACGAATGGGAAAAGCTAATGGATCAATTAGTTGATATGCCTACATATAACAAAGATTGAAAAAATAAATAAATTAACTAAACATGCATTGCATATTGATGATGAGACATAAAAAAGGTAATATTAATTAATATACATTTTTTGAGATGCAATATACTATATGGATATGTATATATCCTATTATTGTCTATATCATTGAGTTTATACATATAGATTTTTTTTTGTTTATTGTATTGTATTTTATTTTATATTATTATTTTATAATTTAACAATGTTCGATATGAATTTATCATGAAAACTTTCTATGCAATTTTTTTATTGGTATTGGTAAAACCAACACCTTTAACTGTTGCTATAAAGTCATTACTATCTGGATCATCAACCTCCTTCAGTAATACTTCGGTACCAAAGAACTTCTTCATATCTCTTAGTAGTGAAACGAATTTTTCATCGATTTGATTTTGAGAAATTCTTAATCTACCAATATCTTCCTTACCGATGACCATATACGTTAGTGCTAATGGTAATTGATTTCTACCGACTACTGAACTAATGGAAATTTCTTCTAATAAATGATATGCAACTTTTGAACCAATATCTTCTGGTATATCACCAGAATTACCAATTTCTTCAGAAAAGAAACACCAACCCTTTTTTGTTTCAGCCACTAAAGTAATACCCCAACCCGGACTCTTACCAGAGTTTTCACCTCTCCAAACGTCAGCAGTAATGTTTACTTCACAACCAACATTCTTCAATACTTGTTTAGCACCATCAATCATTCTATTCACCATTGACGGACTGACTCTTGTCGAATATGCAACACCTCTGATTTTAACGATTGGAGGTATATCCAATTCATGCATGGTAATAGGTTGGGCAATTAAAGTATCAACCACTAAATGAACTTCACCACCTCCTAATGGTGGAGCTCCTCTTTTCAAAGTATGCAAAGCACATTCCCTTACACCAAATTTTTCCATCACTGGCATTAACCCCCACTTAATAGCTTCAATACCTGCATCACTATGAGATGAAGTAATACCACGGAATATAATTGAAAACTTCTTCTTTGAGAATGGTGCCAGATATAACATTGGTTCAACATAATAACCAACAGGTTTACTATTTGGACAGTTATGTGTATATGAACCACCAATTATAATACCTGGTCTATAAATAACTGTGGTACCAGTATATGAAATCTCAATAACACTACCATTAGTGACAGCCTCTATAAGTCTCATAAATGACACTTCGTAGTCTTTCAAACCAGGATTCAAGTCATTGGAACGGATTTTTTCAATTTTAATCATTTGACCTGATAAAGTGGCTAAAATTATACGCAAACGAAAATTTTGAGCCCCTTGGAAAACCAAGTATTCACTCTTAGAACCAATACCTCTAGATGACATCTCGATTGACCTAGTTACTGCTTCCAATACACCTTATAGTACCCAATATTTCCTACTTTTAAACCCATTTATCTTTAAATCAACAGTGAGATGAGATGAGATGAGCTTTAAATTTTGGAAATTTTTCACTTTTCATCAAAAGTTTCTTTTTTTTTTTATTTTTTGGATATAATTTCAGAACCAGGTCATGTGACTGCCGTGAGTCATGATACGATATACTCACGTGACTTTCGTGATTTCCGATTTCAAAATTTGAAAATATCGAATTATTTGGACTAATTTGATAAAAACTCGAGTATTAAAGCATAATACACTACATTGAACATATATAAACTGAGACAGATAAGTCTGTAATCGTCATACTTCTGATACCACGAGTGAGATATCTATAATCTCGTATCTGTTGGCTATTTATACTTCCAAGGGATTACGTCCAGTTGATTTGAGGAGACAGTGACAAGAGTTACTACAGGTTATAATGTCAGGAACTTTAAGTAGTAATAATAATGGTATCGATACTAAGAATGATAACGAAAATGTTAGTGGAAATGTAAATGGAAATGAGAATCAGACTGAGAATCAGAATCAGAATCAGAATGAGAATGAAAATGGGACAGGAAATGAAAGCAGTAATGAACCACCAATGAAAAAAATAAAGACTGAAAGCGGACTAGACGATTCTAATCCTACTTTTGATTTTGGTATTACTACGGATAGTTCATCTCAAAATATTGAAAATTCAAAGAGCACTCCATCAGAGTTTACTTCAGATTCAACAAGTGCATTCGATAGTGCAGTGAAGAATTCAGATGGATTGTCGCTTCCAAAGAGTGTTGCTCCAAGCACTGATTTGAAAAAAGATGCAATTCCAACAAGTAATAGTGGATTAGCTCTACCGAAAAAGAATGAAAAGAAAGGAAAGACTACGGGTGGGAAGAATGTAAATAAAAAAGAATCTGGGAAACCTGGAGCTAAAGGCTCTCAATCACAAACTGATGCAAGTAAAATGTCAGACGTGCTGTTTTCTGCAGGTGTCGATATCAGGGAGGAAGAAGCACTATTGACATCATCTGTGGCAGCATCAAAAACTCAAAGTCAACCAGCAGCCGTTAATATTCCTGAACATCCACCATTCTTACATCCTGATCAGGTGGCTGCCTTCATGAAAAAGGCATCTAAAGAACAAAACTTCAATCAAAATTTTGCAAAACAAGGTGAAATTCTACAGATGATTTCATCATCTTGTGAAAATTATATGAGAGATATTATTACAAATACCATAGTTATTTCAAGACATAGAAGGAAAGCAGTAAAAGTTAATTCCGGAAGGAGAAGTGAAGTTGCAATTGCATTGAAATCAATAGCTATCCAACAGAAAAAAGATGAAGAAAGACGTGTTAAAAAACGTATTGCATTGGGTCTTGAAAAGGAAGATACAGAAAATAAAATTGATTCGGAGGAAACACTTCATAGAGCTTCGAATGCCACTGCAGGATTGAGAGCAGGTAGTAAAAAACAATATGGTTGGTTAACTTCATCGACAAATAAGCCATTGGCAGCAACAGGCAAAGGTGCAGGAAATATTGCTGCTGCAATAGCCGCTAGGGGTGATACTGGTTTAAGATTCAGAGAAGCTAGAGAGGAACCAGGTATTGTAATGAGAGATTTATTAAATGCATTAGAAAACAGAAGAATTGGATCTCACAACATCATCACAAAGGGTTATGCAAGAATTAGAGATTAGTAATATTTAAAATATTATTGTTATATAGTTACGAATAAATAAATTTGCATCGATCGACTCATAATCACGATTTAAAGAGCCAGTTCAATTCAATAAAATGCATCAGTGATCTATGCAGGACAAATTCTCGTTTTCTAAATAATAATAGACTATTGTATTTCAAAAAAACTAGCTACCTATATACTTTTCTAATTTATGAAATAAATGAATACGAACTCAAATACCTCATATTTGGGAATAATTAAATGCTTTACTTTCTTTGTTTTAGCTGAGGGTTCAAATATAGAAAGAAATGACCGAAACACCCAAAATGAATGTCAAAATTGTTGTAAAGTCATATGGTGAAACAACGTGGACAGAACCTGATTTGGTTGAGTCTGATGAACCTGATTTAGAATTATCAGTTGAAGTAGTCTTTGAAGATTTTGAAGACTTTGAAGTAGATGTCTTACCAGATTTCTTGGAAGAAGTAGTACTTAAAATGGTATCAGGTTCACCGTTATCAATTTCATCCGCACTGTTTGGATCATTGCTGATGGTACCGTTCCAACAGTAAGTGGTCAAACATGCTTCACATTCAGCAGGCAAAGTTGCATTCAAACTTTCTTGCTTACGCTTTAAGATAGCACAAGCAACACAACCGATGAATTCAGGGTCATAAGTGAAATTACCTCTAGTGGCTGCTTCGAAACCATTTTGGATCATACCGATACGCTCCTTTTTAGAGTAAGACATCTTGAAAGTACTTTGGTTACTAGCATAAGAATACTTTGAGTTTGGAATGTAAACAACCAAAGGTGGAGTTTGTCTCAAACTAGTCATGTTAGAGGCTTCACAACCGAAGAAAGTTGGTTTTCTGTTCAAACCCAAGTTAACAAAACTGTTTGTGTCTGGAACGTAAGGGAAAGCAATGTTAACACCTTGTGATTCGAATTGACGTTGGTAAGTGTTAACTAGGGAGGCACCGTTTGGCCATGAATTGTTGGTGTCAGCGGAATTATCCAAGGCAAAGATGACATCTATGTCACGTTCTTTTTGTAGTAATGGAACCAATGGGATATTCTGTTGATCTTCACCACCATCGACCAAGAATAAGTAATCGGTTTCAGATAGTACTTGAGAGTAGTTGCTCTTGATATGGTTAGTGTTCTTGAAAGGATTTGGAGCGTAAATGGCGATATCATCGGATTCGTTTGATAAATCGACCAAATAATGTCTAACAATATCTTGGATAAATGAGTTCAAACCTGTGGTGTTCAATCTCAACAAGAATTGGTTGAACAAACTTGAGGAAGTACCCATGATGAAACCAGTGTTGTCGTAACCTTCTACACAAACGTCGGTGTTGACAGGGGTACCGTTAGTTACGTTAGTACCCAAATACTTAACATCAGAGAAGGCATTTAAAGTTGGATCCCAGGAACCCATTTCGAAAGGATTGAATTCGAATAAAGTAGCGTTCAAGTTGATAATGTAAGAACCAGGGTACCTACCATCAGCGACAGAGATTGGGAAAGGCATAGCACCGTCTTGGAAAACTTGAGCTTCTCTTAAAGTGGACCAAGTGTAAGCTTCACCACCTCTTTTCAAAGAAGGGAAGAAACCGTAGGATAGAGCACGACCCCAGATATCAGTCAAGGATACGTTAAAGCCTGCTTCCTGTTTATCCTTCACAGCATCTGAGATGTGATTCCATCTTAGCACGGTTTTTGCGATGTCCAAACCACCAGGGGTGAAGATACTGTTTGAGATATCCCAGATGGAGTCATCCTTTGTGAAGTTGTTCACTATATCTTGGACTGAAGTCCAGTTATTCCATGCCAAAGTACCGACTAGCCAGTTACCACCGGATAAACCAGCCAAATAAGTAGTACTCTGCAACAAACCACCAAGACCGTGTTCGTTTGCACCCACGGTTCTGTTGTCCATGGCTGAGATCATACCAGCACCACTCAACATAGCTCTGTAACCACCACCAGAGGCAGCGACAGCGATTTTAGGGACATTGCTTGAGTTTGAAGAACCGAACAGTTGATCCAAGATTGAGGAATCGGTGAAGTTGGCCATTGCCCTTGTCATGAAATCCTTCAAACTCTCAGTGGTGTAGACCTCTCTCTTTGCCAACCAGTCGATTTCTTCATCAGACAATTTCCCACCAGCTCTGACGAAGTTAGCGTTAGCAGGACAGGAGACGTTGCCTGGAGCATAGCTGTTTGAAGGAGACCAGGCGTCTACGGCAGCTGGCAAACCCGCCACTGCCGATAACAACAATAGATTCTGCAATTGCATAATTACAAAACCGACACTATATTATACAAACTAGATATAAAGTAGACGAATTGAAACGTATAAACTGAAATCAGAAATACAATGAGTGCTCTGCGAATTATCTAAAAAAAATAATCAAACACACACACACACTTTTAGTTATTTAAATAAATCACCACCGATAGTACGATGTTGTCTTAACCTCTTGCAATAACATTCCCAACTTAAAGAAGAGAATGGGAAGGTCTTTAATAAGAACCCAAACCGAAACCAATCGATATCAAATACCATTTATATAAGATAATTAAGATCAAAAAGCATTGCAACTTGGTGCAAAAACCCATCGAAAAACCAGAACCGAGGCGAGCCCATCAGAGACATTCAACAACGCTGTAAAGCCTCTTTTGCAACTGCGCAAATACCGAACCGAACCGAACCAGACCAGACCAAAAACTACAACAACAACATTCACCTGAACGAAAAGAGGCTCAACTTGACAGGGGTCACCATCAGCTCAAGGACGAGAACAAGCACAGGCATCACCTTGTCTCTGACAAGGATCAAACCAAAACTCATCCAGACAGGGAAGGACTGCAACTTGCTAGAACTGAGCTGATTACGGATTCGATGGGACTCGAATAGGAAGTCTAAAGGTTTAGCCTTTTAAGGTTAAGCTCGGTTTGAGGTATTTAAAGTTACATCGAATTTGCTATTTGCTATGCTATGTTGTGTTATGTACTAAACTATAACGAATGCTATTACTATTGCTAATTGCAATAAAACGGGGGGATGAGGAAGGGATTAATGATGTGTCTACTGTCTATTGCTCAATGTCTATTCTCTAATGTCTACTCTCTAATGTATCATCCTGCCCTCAATGTTCTTGATCATTAGCGTTATCTGTCTCTCGGGAACTTCGATCTTGCTCAATTCTTTGGCCTTTTTCAAGAATTTTTGTGCAAGTTTGATGTTTTGCACTACTTCGTTGTTGGCAATGTCTTTGCTAGACGAGCTGTTGTCGATGTAATGCTCAAGGTTCATCGACAACTCGTTCGCCCTTTGCAAGTGCACTATCCCATATATATACCATATTTCGCTGTCTTCCATGAATGGAGGGATCAATGTCAATTCAGACAAGTACTCGATGAGCTCGTTGTAGTTTGAACTTGTCCTAGAGCTTGTGCTCGTTGTTGTTATTTCTTTCCATAACAGTGTCTTTATATATATTGGTGTCTTGTTTCTCGAACCATCGTTAAATACAGGTGCTTCCCTGTAGTTCACGGTCTGATTGAAGATTTTTTTCTTGTACCTGGAGTGAATGTTATTGAATAGTTTTAAAAATTCAATGGTCTTATTGATCCCCTCCAGGTTCTCGATGATCATGCTTCCAAGGTTCCATATCTTACGGATGCTAGTCTTTGGTAGTCTTATCAAAAGTGTAAAACATCTATATGCAATCTTCCAGTTCTCTTTAAAGATACTCTCATACATCAGATCGGTGAGAAGTTTGACGTTAACCATCGTGAAATTTTCTTTGAGATTGATATTATCATCGATCAACTCGTATCCATCGATTACTGATAAGAAGTTCTCTTGTAACTTTCTATTGCTTCTGATTAATGGTACCTGGATTTTTTTTCGACTATATTTAGTAAGCTTATTGTACTTCTTATAACTCATCATCTTCCTGTTGATGCTCTTGCGATGTTTGGTGTTACTAGCCCATCTCTCAAAACTATCCTCTGGTTTATCATATCTACTAAAATACTTCTTCTCTTCATCTCCTTCTTGCTCTTGCTCGTCCTCCTCTTCCTCTTCCTCCTCCTCATCACTGCTGACTGATTCACCAACTATACGTCTCCATCTCTTGCGTACACGTTTATGTGATACTTCATCCTCACTTGCATTCATCTCATTCTCTGAGGACACCGGTGTTGGCAGCCCTTGTCCATTCTTGTTATATCTGTTCCTCTCATACATATGGTTCATGTATTGGTATCTAAGTTTCTTGAAATTAACCACACTCCTCTTGGTGGAGTCAATTGTAGGTACTTCAAACATCAACGATTAACCACACCTTCTTGTGAACAGGCAGTATGGGGCCCCTATGTATCAAACACTTGATCTCTTTTATAACCTATCTGTTCTTCTCGAGATGAGATGAGATGAGATGAGCTTGACTTTTTTTTATAGCTAGTGAAAAATTTCAGATTTAAAATATATAAGCTTTGTATATATACAGGAAACATAAACAATAGCAAAATGCCTGTTAAGAAAGATGGTAAGACGGTATAAGGTTTACTTGCGAGAGGTGTATTCTAGTCGATTGTGTTATTGCAGATGATATCTGGTTTTGTTTGAGCTGATTTAGTTATTTAAATAATGGTTATGCTCGCACTTAGATCCGTCCAAGGGTTTAAGCACTACAAAACCTAACTGTTTGATCCTGGCTCACCAGAGGGACTAAATACAGGTTACAAGTTTCAAATAGACTGGATTAGTGTTACTTAGCTAGAATTATTGACTCAGGGGGCAGTGTTGGGTATATTTTGACCAAAGCAACCGACTTTGCCTTTTACATATTAGTGTCATCATCATGATAGTAACAATGGGATGAGGTTTACTCAAATATCAAGATGATTAGAGCTTCAAAGTACGTCAAAATGTCGCTGTTGATGTAAAACTATACATATTTTACTTGTGCAACTAGGTTTGGTTTCAACAACAGAACAAAAGGTTTAGTTTATTGTGGATAACACTTTTTGTGCTTTAACCTCATTGATCAGTCATACTCTGCTTCAACCATCAAGCTTCTTTACATATTACAACACTCGACTCACTATTAACCACAATATGTCTATCAAGAGGATCAAAATAGCAAGAAACTGATTCTATTCCATACTGATTGTAGAAATTTCGATACTAACCTATTTCTTTCAACGGTTAGAGGTTATTCATTTAAACTAAGGTTATCATAACACACAAAATAGACTATAATAGAAAATAGTCTTGAATATATAGAAGTTGTATCCTTTTTTGTTAGAGGATACCAATGAACCTCAATCACCATTGTGGAACCATTTAAAAACTTCAAATAGAGGTATTCAAACCACTCATAGAAACAACGATAAGTAGACAACAATGGGGTTATTGAAACAAAGAATTGATCAGAAATAGGTGAATAACAAACTATCTTTGGCTGTCACAAACAATATGATTGTGATTGTGACGTTACTAGAATCAAAAATGTATTTTCAAAACCTATAAATAGCAGTATGTTTTCCCATCTATACTCAAGTTTCGTTAATCTCTCCATATCATAATTTAGTTGCTTAGTTCAAGTCCAAACTCAACTATATCAACCAACTTTGTCTAAAAATCGATAACTTGAATCGACTTATATTCAACATATCCTCAATCAAGATTCTCTCAGAACCACTTGCAATCCCACTCCACTCCATCTCCTCCATTATTTTACAAAATGGTTAAACAATATATCGAAAACAAAAATTTTACGTTGAAGACTCCTTCTAAAGTAAATTCCTATAAAGATAAGATCAAACGTTGCTTTATCAAAATAGGTAATAAAATCAATAGAAATGCAGAATATTCAAATGGACCTCACCATTTCAGGAAATGGTTAAATAATAACAAAGAAGTCATTACGAGGGATAACCTAAATCAGCACTTCGAAGCTTTGATGTATAGCATCACTCATCCACAACAAGCAGTTCAACGATCAAGTTTAGATGAACAAAAAAATGCCATTAACATTAATAACAGTGCTGAATTGCAAAATACAAAAAAACCTTTTAAAAGAGTTAACAAGTACAATAGAAATTATATTTTAGCTCAACAAGAATCTGATAGACGGTTTTTGGAACAATGTGAAAGAAGTTATTCTAATAGATCAGTAATTATTTGTGATAGTTATTCAATTAATCAACCAACCAAAAAGAAACAATATATCTTCAACAAAGAATTCGACTTACAAGCTCGTACCATCTCTAATGATGGGATGAATCCATATAACAAAAGAAAAATTCAAAATGCTGAGTTTTATAATATAACTGATATTGATAAGACAAATTTAATGCCAAACGATAACCAAATTAACAATGAATATCCAAATATTCAAAATAAAAATCAAAACAAGAATACATGTACATATCAATATCAATATCATTATCAGCACCAGTACCAATACAAAAATCAAAACAAAATCCAAATCCAAATTCAAAATAATAATTTACAGAGTTATTTTAAAGAAAATTATAGTCCTAACTATAACATAGTATACTCTAATAATATAAATAGTAGACATTATCCTACTATTCCTCAATCACCACCTTCTTTTACAAAATATGACAATAATTGCAATTTAAATCAAAAACCTGATTCTATTGCACAAGAATATGATTATAATCTAAAATCAATCCATGGTATAAATGAAGAACCTCGAAGTTATAAAAAGTCAAGATATCAATATGAACCTTTTGAAAGGCAAAATAAAATGGTATTCGACATCACAATTTTCCAATCATCCCCATTATAAAAAGTTGAACCTGAATCAACAAATCAAAAAAGTATTTCTAAAAGGAAAGAACTACAAACTTTCTTTCTCGTTGCATGAAACTAAGCTCGATTAATTTACAATTTTAATCTTACAAATGAAGGTGTCACATTTCAATGACATTAGATTCCAATGTTATAATTAGTATTTCAATTTTTACCTCCAACTCCAATTCATCACTAAATATTACCCAACGTATGATACATCAATCATTATGAGTTCATGAAAGTTCTACTTATTTCAAGAATGGCCAGCTAGTTTTAGGTATGAACAGAATTGATTATTAATGATGTATTTATCATTATTTGATGGTTTTAGAACTTCTATTTCTTCTGAACGTTTTTAAAAAGCTTCTTATAAATTTTTGAAAGCTTCGTATTAATAATTGATTATTCCAAGGTTGAGTATCTGTATTCATTCCAATTGCAAACAATTGCAAAATCTGATTAGTATTCTTTGATTTAGTTGTGCGCTTTCCCGCTAATGATTTTAATATGTGTCAGTAATTGTCTTTTGTGTGGAAATTGCGATGATGACAGATTATCAACTTACGTTAATTGTATTCTAATTCAAAATATACTGGGGATATATATTGAATATGAGCAATTGACCTTTATTTTGGTTTTATCAACATTTTTATAAGGTTTTCCCAAATCTTTAGTTAAAATAGATTAGATTAGTGAAGAAGGTTAGATATTGAAATTTAGTTTGCTAGCATCTAGCTTAAATAACTAGGTACTAGGTAATACCCTATCAGTGCAAGAGCTTTTAGTTTTATTGTGTTCATGTAGATATTAGTAATGTTTTATTTATAAAATATTAAAGTATGTAAATTAAATTAAATTAACTTAAATCAAATCTTTAAATATTAAAACTAATTCTAGTAAAATCTTTAGTAAAAGCAATGCAACGGATTGATAATTATCTAGATGTCAAATATACTTTTTGAAAGCAATATGAGACTTCATCACTAATCTGGAAAGAAGGGTATATATCTAAACTAGATTATTCCAAATCATAAAGGGTAAAAACTTATTTAAACACCAATCAAGAACTAGGAACAAGGTCAACGACATCTCTTGCAACAACTGAATAAGATATCTAAATTATATATTCCCTTAATAATATATTACCTTGATATATAATTAAATAACACTAACGATAGCACTACTTTCCTGTAAATCAACAAACTTTGACCAAATGCTCAAATTCAAACTTCTCTTAAACAAGATGAATCTGGATGTATCTAGAAAAGAAATATCACTTGGGATTCCTTTTAGTCGCCAATGATATGTGAATCATATCAAGATAATTGAAAGTCTTAAATATCATAGTTACTAATAGTTCAAGAATATCACCAGGACCTGTCTGTAAAGTGATGAAATGGTTTACGCCTAAATTTACAGCAAAAGGTGCGTAAATGTACATCATGATCAAATTCAAGACTCATCAGAACCATACTATATGAACTACACTCTCTCTTTCATGAGTCAGACGTTCCTCATCAGGGATCTGGCTCACTTCTGTTCCATAAAAGGATCTAATCCAGTTCAGGTAAGAATGGTTAACGTTGTTAAATGCTAAGCTCTTATGTTAAATTGCAATGTGAAACCTCAGACTTTTGGTTTGCCAAGAATCAACGAAACCACAAACCTTTTACAATTTGTGGTGACCTTAATCTGATGCATCCATTCCTATAAATACTTCCATCTTTATGGATAGTTCAAACTGTCTAAATGATTGATTAGACGTGGGGATCAGTTGGGAAATCTAAACAAGATCAAAATACTACCAAAGTTTTAACCAATAGCCATGACAGTTATATCTATCCTTTTCCTGTTACTCATGGTTTCAATGTCAAGCCTTTCAATTGCGTCGCCAATAACTTGTGAATTAAAGAGATACAGTAAGGAATGCTTCTTTTTATACAGCGATCAGGTCAATGCTACTATTGAATTCTACTTCTCTGTTCAACATGGTGAAAGAAATGATGTCTTTATCAGTTATTCCATCAAGGATCCAGAAAGAAATTCATTGTTCAATAGAAAGAGAATCAGCCAGAGTGAATTTAAGTTTCTAGGTGAAGAACCTGGTGAATACACTGTATGTTTCAACAATGAGAGTGATAATGACAAGATTATTGATTTAAAGTTTGAGTTAAGTAACTCTATAAATGAGTATGATAAAAGTTTTGGAAGCTTTAATACGTGGAAAGAGAATTTAAATCCATTACAATTCTCGATATCTTATGAGATAGATAATTTAGAGCACCAAATATCCATATTGTCTTCAAATTTGGGATATTATAAAGCTAGAAGTCAAAGGAATAACGAAACTGTCACGTCCATTAATAAGAGAATTGCAGTCACCACAATAATAACTTTGATGTTCATTATTGTAGCCAATATAGTACAACTGAAAGTAACGAAATACATTCTAAACAAATATGATAGACTTCACTAGGGTAATTCAATTGACATATCTCATCGATTCTTAGAATCACATATCTGAGGGCAACGACTGGTGTAGTTTTTATAATAAGCCAATATATTTGTCACAGAGCACTCACCATACAAGAACAATTGTCAAACAAAATAAAAAGATATCACAGGATAAGTAACACAAGAAACTATAACGACAAGAAATAAAAGTGACTAGGTGAGCTCATCCTAGAATTTCAAACCCTTCGTTGAAGGTTTGAGAAAGGCAAACATTTACGTCAAATAGTGAAAGAACCAGCCAGTTATATGGTTTGGAACACAATGGAAAATTGATGAATGATGATGAATTGTTAGCAGTTCATAAAGAAATGTATCTAATTGTTAAGTTTAATAACAGTTGTATGATGACTTGGTCACTGTAGCCAACTGTCGGTTCATTTATATCCAACGTTCAATTCAAATACAAAAGATCACGTGATACAAATCGTGTCTCAAATCATAGCGAATTGACTCTGGCTCACTTTCAAAGGGTTTAATATCAAATTAATTAATTCAAAGATCATATAGATGAAGAGGAATTAACAGATAAGAAATTGGTATAAAAGACGATTGGATTTCATATATTTGGGCTATTCTTATCTATTAGAATTCTGTTCCATGAACCCATAGTTCTGAAATTATTTTTAATTTATTCTCATTAAGTTGGCAGGCCAACAAGAACCCCATCTCTATTATAAATCTCAATCGATGTCCATTTCTCAAACAAACTTAGACGGTATTTTACCTTTAATTGGTAGAGGTAAAGTTAGAGATATCTATGAGGTCGACGAAAACACTCTTTTATTTGTTGCTACCGATCGTATTTCTGCCTATGATGTTATTATGGAAAATACCATTCCAGATAAAGGTATCTTATTAACTAAACTATCTGAATTTTGGTTTGAATATTTGAAAGATGATGTCAGAAATCATCTGGTTAATATTCCAAAGGATAAAACTGTTTTTGATTATTTACCAAAAGAATTGAGTGAACCAAAATATAAATCCCAGATTGAGGGAAGATCAATGTTGATTCAAAAATTTAAATTGATCCCATTAGAAGTTATTGTTCGTGGTTATATCACTGGTTCTGCTTGGAAAGAATACCAAAAGACCAAGACAATACATTCTATTCCTCAACCAGATGGTCTTGAGGAATCACAAGTCTTACCAAAGGCTATCTTTACTCCTTCTACTAAGGCTGAACAAGGTGAACATGATGAAAACATTTCAATTGAACAAGCTGCTGAATTAGTTGGCAGAGATATGACAAAGAGAATCGAAGCACTATCAATTAAGTTGTACTCTAAATGTAGAGATTATGCAAGTAGTAAAGGTATTATCATTGCTGATACTAAATTTGAATTTGGTATTGATGAAAAAACTGATGAAATTATCCTAGTTGATGAAGTTTTAACCCCAGATTCTTCAAGATTCTGGAATAAGAATTCTTATAAACTTGGAACATCTCAAGACTCTTATGATAAACAATTTTTAAGAGATTGGTTAACCTCTAACAAATTTAATGGTATCCCAGGCGTGAAGATGCCACAGGACATTGTAGAACAAACAAGATTTAAATACATAGAAGCTTACGAAGCCTTAACAGGATCCAAATTCTAAAATGAATTTTGTAAATATTAATTACTATATGCATATAAACTATATGTTTCCGAAATTAGAATAATATATTTGACTCAACAGATACATTACTCAATATGTGCTTCTAGCATGTAAACTTTTCTCCCATTAATGTAAAATCTTGAATAAGTATTTCGTTTAGAACATCTATTTAAGAATCACTTATATCTTGTTTTCCAGTGGTATGCAGGCTTTGGTAATCTCTTATCATAATATCCACGAATAGAGTCCGGTGCCTTGCCTACTTTTTTACCCTCAAGGACTTCCCTAACTCTTTCTTCAACTGCAATCACAAACTGGTCTTTCAATTGTGCAATTTCACGTTCATATTCATACGATTGTTTCTCCAAAATTTTTTCAATATTGACAAGTTCTCTTTCGTAATCCAACAAGTTTTTCTCAAATCTTTCCAATTGTAATGACTTTCTAGCAGTTCTAACTTGAATATCCTGTAACAATTCAAAAGTCGAAGGTCTAGATTTTAAATTTGTATCAACCATAGAATGAATAATGGCATTTAACCCATTTGAGTAGTATTCAGGAATCCGATCAAATTTCCCACTTTTAATCCTATTTTGCAATTCTGTATAACTTTTCGCCTGGAATGGAGGGTGTAAGGAACACATTTCAAAGATAACACAGCCCAATGACCAAATATCACTTAATGGGGAATAAGGTTGATCCATTAAAACTTCTGGTGACATGTAATATGGAGTTCCAACATACGTCGTTGCGAACTGTATAGATGTCTCCAGTGATTTGGCAAGACCAAAATCACCCAATTTTACTACCACTTCACTGTAATCCATGGTCGTAACTTTCTTATGCCCCCCATCGGTATTAGAATTAGAATCGTTATCGTAACTTAAAAAAATGTTACCGGGTTTCAAATCTCTATGTATGACAATATTCTTCCCCTTACCTGGTTGCTTCATTCTGTCATAAATAGTGGTCAATGATCCTAAATCTTCACCATAATGACACTTGTACAATGCCATCAACAGTTGTGCAAGAATACCCCACACAACTTTTTCAGGAATATATTTATGCTCCTGTTTGTATTGTTTGATCATTTTACTTAAATCACCTCTACTACAATACTCCATGTATAGATATAAGACCTCTAGCTTTTCATCAATTTCCCAAGAATAAAATTCAACGATGTTCTCTTGTTTCAATTGCGATAAAATTGAACATTCTGCAATCAACTGTTGTCTTTCCTTACTATTCATATGCCCATATTTAATCTCTTTCCTAACCATTAATTTCTTAGTGGGAAGATGCAAAACTTTCCTGACAGACCCAAATGAACCTCGACCAATCTCTTCTAGTACCTGAAATTCAGGGCGACCTTGATAATGTTCATTTTCCCTATAATCCTGAGGCGATGAACGTCTTTGCATCACCAATTCGAACCACAATCTACTGCACCCAGAACAACAACTAACCCTCTAAAATATCTGCCCATCTTAAATAGCAAACCCACCTTGATATAAAACAATATAATAAACCTTTTGCTTGTACTTTCGAACCTTTCTTTGATCAATTTCATAAATTTTTCAATCCTGTATAGTTAGTTTTTCCAATGTTGACCTTTTTCCATTTCCGGTTATGTAATAAATAAAGAAAATAAGGTGTTTCGATGACTTTCAACCAGGAGTATGTTGTATTCATTACAATTGACAGTATTAATTATTAGTCGTTCTGATTATGAATATATCTGATGTAGTCAATTGGATGATGATAATAGCCAGCTCCCCTTTCAATATTTTGTTTAGTTATTCCTCATTGATTTGTTGAATTAGTTCAAGCGGTCCATTTTGGAATGGCAAAACCGTCATTGTCAAAGTTGGTTGCTGAATTCTTGTTTGGGAAATATCCCTTTGATAGTATTTCTATATCTTTACAAAGCTGTTGTATCAAAATCGAATCACAACCAACCTGTTCTGAAGTTTTGTTATTTTTATCTTTGTGTTCATCTTTTTTCTGCATGTCCCAATTATTATTAAAGAATGATACCAGTTCTGACGTTTTAACGAAAATTTCATCAATTGGGTCGAAATTTATAGCTTTTGTAATGACAATCTTGATAAACTTTAATAAATCAATTTGTAACAATAAACTTCCCCTGTAGATATGGAAAAAACTTTTTATTCTTTCTACAAAATTTGCAAACATTAACAGATCAAAAGATATGAATTCTAATTGTTGTAAAGAGCATAGTTTTGTAAATGTGTTTAAAAAATTTCCAAATGAAACATTGTCCTTTCTCAAAGCAAAAAATGGCTCTACTAGATCGGAACTGTGGATAATGATATTACTTTTATTTCCATTAGACATAAAATCAATCGATAGTATATCTGATGCTACTTGAGTGGTCTTCAAGTTTTCATGAAGTAACAACTGCAGACAGTTTAAAGTTATTTGTATACCTTGTGTTAAGTATTTTTCGATTTTAGTGAAACTGATAGCCAGACTAAAGAATAGAGGAGGAACACGATCTTTGCGTAAATCCATCGATAGATCAACACATATAGAGACCACATCTTGTAGAATTGGTCCTATAAGTTTGCTGTTGCGATCACGAAGTAACTTTGAGGCCAGATTGATAAACTCACTTGTATACAATATTTTTGTTAAAGAATCCATCTTCATTTGAACAACCTTATTGCATACTTTCATATAATATTTCCAATTAAATAACTCCAGGTTATTATATTTTACATTTGTAAATGTTATCAACCAGTTAATAAAACTATCAGGTATTTTTCCTCGCATATTACTGAATGATGCATTAGAACTCAAAGATAAACTCTGAAAGTGCAAAGCATCTGCTTCAGATAAACCTGATTTAATAGAGTTACTGGGTGAATTAGATGAAGATTGTGTCATAATATTCAATTCAGAGTCTGTCTTCATTAAAGTGAAAGTAATTACTTTAAAGACATTATGGAAAGTTTGAGGATTACTTAAAATATCTTGAGGTGATGTTTCATGTACTAATGCTGAAAAAAGTATTTCAGAAAACCAATTTGCATGAGATGAAAGCTTCAACATGATTGTTTGGGATATTTTTTCATGTATTTTGTTATTTTTTAAAAGAATAGCCAAATTTAAATTGATCTCACACCACCGGCACCAAAATGTTATGGACGTGACTTCTAAATATTTTAATATCAGTTCAAGAATCAGAGATGGATCTTTCAAATTTGAGAAGTATTTTTTATTCATTATCCCTGATTCTATTAGTGTGCGATAAACAGTCGGGGAGGGAAACGATGGGGGTTTATAATCAATAAAACAACTAATAATTAGTTCTTCATTTTCCAATAGTAGTGGCATACCCCCCATTGTAACAAATTTTTGCTTGAATAATGAATTATTATAGTTATAATCATACTCAAACAATGAAATTACCAATTGGTCAACTTGGTCTTGTTTTGGACCCGATAATAAATTCAGAATTACGTCCACAATATTTTCAATGACACAGTCATTGAACAACATTGCCATATTACTTATTAATTGACCTTGTTTTAGTTTTTTTAATAAATATGTCTCATTAGCTACTCTTGATGAAGAAATAGTAGACGGCTGTATGTTATCTCTGTTATTCAAAGTAGATGGATCAGAATTAACAGGAGTAAATTGACCTTTTTTCCTTGGTGACATATCTATTTGTTTTTCTTTAAAATCATCATCCCAGTTATAATCTTCCTCCTCATAACCTTCTTTGAATCTGTCTAATCTTCCCACAAAATGATTGGCCATAGGTGTTTTAGTCTCAATACCATCCTCCTGTGATAGCCATTCATGCTGCAACAATTGTTTAGCAGTTGGTCTTAAATACATATTTTTCTGGAAACAACATGATAAAAAATTAGCTGCTACATGGGATACCTTATTTTCAGGTGGTAAATAAGTATCATTTTCGATTGCATAATAAATATTCACATCAACTAAATTGTGAAAAGGAGGATTCCCAGTAAGCAATTCCACCACAGTAGCCCCCAAAGACCAAATATCACTTAGAGTCGAAGCACCTCTATTACCTATAATTTCAGGAGCCATCCAATTTAATGAGCCTGCCAATGTCATAGCCATTGATGCATTATTTACCTTTGTGGAGACTCCGAAATCAGCTAATTTGACAACGTTGCTTGAATCCAGCAATAGGTTTGCAGACTTTATATCTCTATGTATAACACCTTGTTCATGCAAATAAGATAAACCTTGTAATGTTTGTCTAATATAGGATTGTGCTTCGATCTCAGGTATACCTCTATTTGGGGATATCAATTTCTTTAAAGAACCACGGGAACAGTACTCTAAAATAATATACAAAGTATCCATTTTCTGTATAAACCCATGGTATTTTACAATATTAACATGATTTAAATTCTTCAACAGATGTATCTCTGACATAATATCATTCAATTCCTCATCATTATCATAATTGACCTCTTTTATAGCGACAACTTGGTTGGTTTTCCTATTGACGGCCTTATAGACAACACCAAACGAACCCTTCCCAATAACAGCCTTCAATTGATATTGTATCCTAGGTTGAGATTGTTTGACTGCACTTGCTTCTTGAGTTTCTTTTATAGATTCTACTTCTGTCGATGGGGTCCCTAAGATGGGAATAGCCGTACTCCCAGAACTTTGTTGAGCAGGGGTAAGACTAACAAGACCTTCCCGGTTCGACGAGGCCAACCTAGACCGTAAAATACCTTCCATAGTGGCTCTTGGAGGTCTGGACAGGCATGGTTCTTGTATATTCCTGATATGTCTTGCTATTTAAGTGTCTTGAAATATAACTTTTAGATCTTAAACGCCTAGATCAAAATTCCGTTGATAGCGATATCACGTGATTGGTGTCAGTAATTGGCAATTTTAGTGCTTGGCGAGGAGTTTTACAACAATCAAATCTCTATGAAGTAACGATATAAATGGATCTACCATATTTACATACCACTGGACTTAGAACCTTCAATATATCCTGAGTTATTGAGCTTTGTCTCTAGAGAAGCGAACGAGTCCCCATCTCACCTGTCCCCCCAAAAGTTGAGAACCTCGACAGTCTGAAAAGGTAATAACTATACATGATATCATCCAATTGCTGCTTATAATACCTTTTTTTCATACTAATGATATCAATACCAACGCACAGAACTAAATCAGAATCAGTATACAGCTCTTGATAATTTCAAATTATCCTTGAAAAAAATGACAGCACCCTCCAACTTTCTTAATACAGCTCAATTTCGAACCAGAAAAAAGACATATAACATATCTATACTCTGGCATATTGAATAGAACCAACTGTTCCATCTGTCTGATTTGCTAGAACCGATGCAACTCTTATTCGTTTGAACCATCACTTTTAATATCGATTTTCTGTGGTTCTAAATCGTTACCCGGTCAAGGATTTCGAATCAAGTTTAAAAATGGCATACATTTTAAATATTTAAAAACAGTAGTAGCCAACTCAATGATAACCGAACCTTTAATTAAACAACCAGTGCATCGATAGAAAGGTGATACCTAGTGAGGATATGGTTGCAACTGATGGGGCTGATGATCAGTCTTCTACTATCAGTGTCAGCAAACCGCTTTTGAAGCTTAAATTGCTTGATTCGTTAAGACAAGGTGGATTTGATCAACTTAAGGAACTAATCAATGGATCGCATTTCCAACCTAAAGATGATCCAGATGTGCTAGATGTATTAAGTTTGGTGATTAACTATGCTGTGCAGGTTGCTCCTATGGCATTGATCAAGGAGATTGTTGAGAATTGGGTAAGAAAGTCTTTGCCTAGTGAAAATGACGACGATGAGGACAACATTCGTGAAGGGGACGATTTAAAATTAGATTTGAATAAGCAGGACTTAAATGGGAATACACCATTGCATTTAGCTTGTTACCAATCTCGTGGTGATGTGGTGTCCTATTTGATGGATCAAGTCACTATTAATGATTGCTTGGCAAATAATCAGCGTTTACAACCGATTGAAGTTTGTAAGAATTTAAACATTGCTCAAATGATGCAATACAAGCGTTCTAACTATGTAGCTGAGATTGCCCAAGAGTTCAGAATGGCATTTAATAATAGAGACTTTGGACATTTGGAAAATATTTTGAATAATCCAAGAAATGCTGAATTATTGGACATCAATGGTACGGACCCTGAAACTGGGGATACTGTTTTACATGAATTTGTGAAGAAGAGAGATGTCATAATGTGTCGTTGGCTTCTGGAACATGGCGCTGATCCCTTCAAGAGAGATTCAAACGGTGTTCTTCCGGTAGAAATTTTAGGCAATGTTAATGATACCGATAAGGCTACAAACACCAAACTGGCAATTGATATAGAATTAAAGAAACTGTTAAATCAATCAGCTCAGGAACAAAGTGTTATAGACGTCACCTCCAGTCTTCATGAACCCCCTATGTTTAAGGGTTATTTAAAAAAATGGACAAATTTTGCCCAAGGGTATAGACTACGTTGGTTTATTTTAGGAGGAGACGGTAAATTATCGTATTACAAAGATCAAGCTGATACAAAAAATGCATGCCGTGGGGCTCTTAATATGTCTTCCTGTTCGTTACATTTGGATTCTTCTGAAGAATTGAAATTTGAAATTATTGGGGGTGCCAATAACGAGGTTCGCTGGCATTTGAAAGGTAATCATCCTATTGAAACAAATAAATGGGTTTGGGCTATTCAAGGTGCGATAAGGTTCGCTAAAGATAAAGAATTGTTGTTGAAAAATGGAAATTTTGTTCCACCATCTTTGACTTCACCCGTAAATCCAACTAAATTAAATCCGTATGATACCGTTAATGAGCTACCACAAGTTACACAAGGACATAAGCGTGTTCCTAGTAGTGCCTTTTCAACCGTGTCTGAACGAGAGGATATATCTTTGAGTCGCGAAGTGCCAACTAGCCCTGTGACTTCAGCTGGGTCTACTTTTGGTAAATTGTCATCTCAAACACCAACTGAAAATGGCGAAGCCGTTCCAACTGTGTTGGTAACTGCACCAGAAGGAACAGCAACTGAGCCAGACGCTTCACATAATATAAGTGGTATGCTAAATATGTCAAGCCAAGAAGACAATTCCGATTCTTCTGACGATGAGAATTATGATGGTGGCGATATTGACGTTAACGCTGACGAAGATCTTAAAATTCAGTATGGTCCTTATTCCGAAAAATTATACATGTTAGAAAGGACCATTACAATGGAGCTAGCATCCTTGACTGAACTTTTAAAGGAGAAGAATTCAGGTACAGACACCTGGAATACTGTCGATAATTCATTGACCACAATAGCGAAGTGCTTTAAAAACTTAAGTAATTTAGCATCACAGCGTGACCAAAAATTATTGAACAAACTATCTAAACAACGTGATGTAAATAACGTTTGGATTCAGTCAGTAAAGGATTTGGAGCTAGAACTTATTGAAAAGACAGAGAAATTAGAGACTTTAGACAAAGAAAGGAAGCATTTGAAGAAAGTATTGCAAAATAATTTACAATTCTCAACTGACGGCAATAAAGATGTTGTTGTGGAGGATCAAGATAAGGACTCAAAGGAAACAAACACAGCTTTACAAGAAGTTGCAAATTACATAAATGCTACAGAAGATATCGATGAGGGTTCCGATGGTGACGAATTCTTTGATGCTGAAGATGTCGGAGAAGATACTGGTGTATCATCAGTTGAGGGCGAGAATTTCGAGGGTGACTTATCATCAGGCACCACTGTTACTCAAAACTCAACTTCGATTGTTGATACCGAAGAAATTGAAGAAATTGAAGAGGTCTATACAGAATTGGGCGAAGTTTCAAGCAAGAAATATTCTTCGATGAACCTTGTTACAAGTTTCCAAAAGGAGAAAGAGCAAATGTTGTTGACAGAAGGATCATTTTTAGGTTATGAAGACGGTATTAGACAAAAATTAGGATTGAGTTCGGATGAGAGGCCAGCTGTGAGTCTATGGTCTGTGCTGAAGTCAATGGTCGGTAAAGATATAACTAAGATTGCATTACCTGTTTCATTTAATGAACCTTCTTCGATGTTACAAAGAGTTTCAGAAGATATCGAATATTCTGAATTAATTGATCAAGCTGCAACTTTTGAGGATTCAACATTGAGAATGTTATACATATCGGTATTCTCATTCACACCATACTCCTCCACAATTAAGAGAGTAGCCAAGCCATTCAATCCTTTACTTGGTGAAACTTTTGAATATTGCAGACCTGATAAGCATTTTAGATACTTTGCCGAACAAGTGGTTCACCATCCTACTATTTCCGCGTTCCATGCTGAATCTCCTAAATGGGACTTCTGGGGTGCTTTAAACGTTGTATCTAATTTCAATGGTAGAACTTTTGCATTCAAACAATTAGATTACTGGCATTTGAAAATGAGACCAGATTCTGGTGAAGAAGAAGAACTTTACACTTGGAAGAAGCCTGACAATAACTTGGTTGGTATTTTAGTTGGTAGTCCAGAAGTTGATTGTAGTGGTGATGTCACCATTAAGAACCACACTACAGGTGACTATTGTATAGTCCACTTTAAACCTAGAGGCTGGAGAGCATCTAGTGCCTACGAAGTCAGAGGTGAAGTTTACAACAAGGATGATGAAAAGAAATGGGTGTTTGGTGGTCACTGGAATGATAATTGTTTTGCCAAGAAAGTTACCTCTAATAGCAGTGATGAATTTGCAACATTAGAGAAGCCTAAGAATACACCTAATGCTATTCCATCTGATTCTAGTTTCAATGTTTACCCACCTAAATTTGACGGATCTAAGTTTATGGTATGGAGAGCCAATAAAAGACCAGAAGGACCATTCAACTTGACATCATATGCAATTACACTGAATGCTCCACAACCTAAATTATTACCGTGGTTAGTTCCAACAGACACCAGATTAAGACCTGATCAAAGAGCTATGGAAGATGGTGCCTATGACCTCGCAGCTGATGAAAAACACAGACTAGAAGTGAAACAGAGAGCTGCAAGGAAGGAAAGAGACGAGGAAAATATTGAGTACATTCCTAAATGGTTCGTCCAAGAGATGAATCCAGTAACTCAAGAAATGCACTGGAGATTCAAAGGTGATTACTGGACACAGAGAAAAAACAAAACCTTTACAGATATTCCCGACATTTTTTAGTAGAAGCAAATAAGATATTAATACAATAAATAATTACATTGACATTGCATTAAAAAATAAAATAAAATAACAGAAATCCATTAACTTTTTATTTATTATATATAAAGTCCTCTTTACTATCCTCTTTATGTCCCGGTTCTTCAACAGGATCTTAAATTCGAAATTAGTAGTGGTCAAGTCAAAATAATAGATTGTAATGAAATCGTTTAAAAGAAATAAACTGGGTGGCTTCACCACAACAAGATATCGTTCTTCCTATCCAAATTGGACCTTATAGGACTAATGATCCTCTTTCAAAACCAAGAATTAAACACTCCATCATCGATCGATCTTGCACGTGACACCACTTTCATATAAATTTTCACATGATGATCACGTGCTTATCAATCACGTCATACGGTTTTTGATTTTTGTTGAAATATCTAGAAATTTCCATATCGAAGGGAGAGGGAAGGTTCGATTTTAGATTATTAATTGTACAAGCCAACATCAGAACAGATGATTTCTTAGAACTGTTAACAACTATTTTTATTAAAGTTTTATATTATTTCTGTTATTATTGTAGTTATTATTAATTTGAATAGGTTTAATTGATATCCACTAGTCTATCCAACGTTATTATCACACTGGTCGATAAAACCTGTGTGATTTAGAAAGTTGTATAATAGTTGGAATTTATTTTGTGTTTTCAAAGTTTTATAATATTTTGTTACAAGTTAGGTTAGATAAATGGCATCCACAGAACTTTCGTTGAATAGAACGTTATCCGATGCGTTGGAGGATCAATTGTATGATTTGAATCCTGATCAGACTGTTTTTTATCCAAGTTTTTTTGCTCAAAACCAAAGAGACCTAAACGAGTCTGCTTCAAAGAATAAGAGTGTCACTGAGATCCCGCTCTCTTGTCTTTTAGATGAGTCTTTGCTTACTGGAAACCAGGTTTCCAATTATACCCAGCATCAGCACTTCCAACAGCCTATTCATAATACTATTTGGAATTCAAACTCTAGGAAAACTTTAGAGAATTTAACTTCTTCTCCTTCGAAGAAAATTTTCAGCAAGTATGCTGATCCTACATTGACTACCACTACAATGGTGAGCAAGTCCAATAATGGTTCTCCATCTTATAGCTACGAGGCTAGCAAGCCAAATACTCCAGCTCCATCGACTATTAGTTTGAATAAAGTGATGAAAGTACCAAACCAGCTGACTGCACCGATTAATAACGTTTCAATATCTACTCCACAAATACCTATGCAAAGTATGCATGACGTAAAGATCACAAACAATTTTAATGATGATTTAGAGGGTGGTTTTACGTCTCAGATAAATGATGAATTTGAAGAACAATATTTTACAAAATCTACTTGGCCATTACAGGACAATAACATGGCCTTGAATATGAATGATGCTAGAATGATTTTTGACGATGAATTCGTAGATGACCTTAGTGAGGATGAGGATGAGGATGAACACATGGTTGACGACATTGTTATCGAAGCAAAGGAAACCGGCAATAATTTTATTGATTCTTCTTCCAAACAAATCATCCCTACTATAGATACCACTTTCAACAACCAATCATTCGTAGATTCAGATTTATCAAATAACAAATTATCAAATCCACTATATGGCAATAGCTATAGTCAAGAATGTGCTTTACTAGACGATATTGACACTGAAAGCAATATGATTGACGATGATGACCTGTATGAACTGTCATTTAAAAGACGTAAGGAAAGTGTTGTATTCAACAAGGATGTTGAGAAGAATATCTCTATTACAAAGAAAAATGATACCCATTCAAACACTAGAAAAATTGAACTTAATATTCCAATAACTAAGAAAAAAATTGACCAAATTGACAACTTTAAGACTTCTCATACAGAAATAGAGTTTTCTGGGAAAGTAAATACAAGGAAGAAAGATTCTATTACTATAAATAGTAGTACAGAAGTACCTAGTGTTACGAACACGACCTTTAAAAAAAAGAACACTGATACTAAAAAACAAAATATAGCATCTAATCAAGGTAATGAGATATTCAAATGTATGATTATGAATATTGTAACGAACAAACCATGTTCGGCAGAATTTTCAAGATCATACGATTTAACAAGACATCAAAATACTATCCATGCAAAGAGAAAAATCGTTTTCCGCTGTTCAGAATGTATCAGATCATTAGGAAATGAAGGATTCCAAAAGACCTTTTCCAGATTGGATGCTCTAAGCAGACATATTAAGTCGAAGCATGAGAATCTGTCAATAAAAGAGCGTCAAGAAGTTACAAAGTATGCTAAACAGAATGTTGGTTATGCTGTAGGTTAATTTCAAAAAAAGCGGATCATATACATAAACCATTACCACTCAAGATCTTTGATAGAGAGATATTTTAGTCATTTCATTTCATTTCAACCTGCATATATCCAAAACACTTTTGGATAATTTTCACCTATAAATATTTTAGTATTGCTATATTTATTTATTCATAGATAAACAATACCATTTTTTTTCCTCTTAAAACTTATTTATTTTATGAAATTTTTATTTTGATGTAAAAAAGTTTTCCTAATTTTATTGACAGACTATATAAATTTATATAAAAAGATGAAATAAGTAATATGATGCTATAATTATAAAGTTAACGGTTGGCCCTTTTCTTTCTTCGCTTGACCATACTTCTTGATTCTAATAGATTGAATAGCAATGAAGCCTGTGGCGTCAGTTGGCAAGAAACCAGCTAATTCATCCATGGATGATTCGGTAGCGTCGTATAGGTTTTCAGTTTCAGAATATCTTCCTAATACAATTACATTTCCTTTATATAGACATAATCTGACAGTACCATTGACAGTTTCTTGTGAAGGCTTTATCATAGTTCTAACGTATTCACATTCTGGGGAAAAGTAAGAACCGTTGTATAATAACTTGGAGTAGCTTGGTGTAACAAATTGATCTCTCAATTGACGAACTTCTTTATCTAAGGTTAAACCTTCCAAATCGACATGAGCTTTTCTCAAGACAGTCAATGGGGCTTGTTCATAACAACCTCTAGATTTCAAGTTAATGTATCTGTTTTCAACAATATCGATTCTACCCACACCATTAGCTCTGGCTAGATTGGATACGGTTAAGAAGATATCCAAAGGAGAGGTGACAGATTTTTCCTGACCAGAAGCAGAATCTTTGTAAGTGACCTTAACTGGTAAACCTTTAACAAATTCGATAGACAAGTCTTGAGGAGTGTCTGGAGCATCCATTGGATCAGTAATTAATTTCCACATATCATTTGGAGGAGTGACATTTGGATCTTCTAAAATACCAGCTTCATAAGAGATATGAGCTTGGTTTTCATCAGTGGACCAAGGCTTGGCCTTGGTTTGGGCAACTGGGATGCCTTTTTCAGCTGCATAGTCTAACAAATCCTTTCTACCAGCAAATCTTTCAAAGAATTCAGGTAATCTCCAAGGAGTGATAACTGTGACATCTGGTTTTAAAGCATAGAAAGATAATTCAAATCTGATTTGATCATTACCTTTACCTGTACAGCCGTGAGAAACAGCAAAACAACCTTCTTGCTCAGCAACATCAATTTGAGCCTTAGCAATTACTGGTCTTGCTAAAGAAGTACCTAATAAATAAACATCTTCATAGACAGCATTTACTTGAACAGCTGGGAATAAGATATCTTCGACGAATTGTTCTCTACAATCGACACAGACAAACTTGGTAGCACCAATTTTCAAAGCCTTTTCCTTTGCAGCTTCAAAATCTTCTTCTTGTCCAACATTGGCCATGAAGGCAATAACTTCATAACCTTGCTCTAATAGCCAAGCTAAAATGACGGAAGTATCTAAACCACCAGAGTAAGCCAAACAAACTTTTCCTTTAGACATTTTTAATATTGGTATATGTTATTTATTTTTTGTATATTGAAGAATCTTATTAACTTCGTAAGTAAGTATTATGTATTAATACTTAGTTCTCTTGATGAGATGAGTGTTCTTTTAATGATGATCTTTTTATTGATCCAAGGAAGATTATGTTCTTTACATTCAAATTCAAAGTTGGTTTATATACATTTAGTTAGCACATGTTTACCATAAGTCTTAGCCAACCCAAGTTGGCCTAAATATCGAAGATGAGTCTTAAATATGATTCAGAACTATTAGTCATCCTTTTAATGCTCAAGTTTGTCATTTTTAATATGAGTCAGAGGGTATCATTATTACTGGTTTGCATGTTTAATACGAGGTGTATGGATGTCTTGATAATTTCGTTCTCTCTGTTTCGGTTTGGGGGGAAGCCGGCAGGCAACCAGTTTTCTGAATGCCATTGGACACGTACATAATGATGTTGAATATGGAGTTGCAGGGAGTCAGGTGACTCACTAACCCCTACGTATGAAGTCGTTATTAGAAGAAGATTACGAACTGGTATCTCTAAAGAGTACTAGAGGTTGCATAATAAGAGAAAGTAACCAAGATCTTGCAATATCTCTGGAATATATGTTCTCCTTGTTTGCCGTATGCGTACACATCACCTTCCGGTTAAAGATTATTGATTTTCTTGAAGTAAAGTGTGATATTGGACAACAAGACAGACAACTTGCTCTTTCACTGCTTTGAAAATTCAGACTGGATATTGGCAATTCAAATTATTGTGCTACTAGAGCTATGGAAAAGGTTTTCGGCATTAACCTTTTATGGTTTATTTCAAGTCCAAGTAGATAAGAAACTGAGGGGGATTGATTCCAAAAACACATTTATGCGATATCCATTTAAAATATTTATTATATATTTACATATTATTTTTCCTCAGCAATGCAACCCAATTCTTCGATCATGTCTGGTAGACGGACCATTGGAACTCCATTATACACAATTTGGTAAACAGCTTCGAACAATGGGAATTCATTGGTCTTTTTACAACTGCTCAACCATTCATGGACTTCCTTACAAGTTATAATACCTTGAGCAGATTGGCCATTCAACAATTCCTTTTCAGAGTCTAGAGCATTCTTACCACTAGTAGCCATGTATTTACCAACACGGACATTTCTACCACCAGAACAAGTAGTAATCAAATCTGCTACACCAGCAGATTCTTTATAATAAGTCTCGACCTTTGATTCTGGGAAGAAAACTTGACCAAACTTAATAATTTCACCCAATCCTACACGTTGGATGGCAGCAGCAGCATTGTTACCCCAACCTAGACCTTCTACGAAACCACAACCTAAAGCTACAACATTCTTCAAAGCACCTGCAATGGAGACACCTGCTACATCTTCAATAACATTAACATGGAAATAAGGTCTATGGAATAGAGCCTTTAATAGTTTGTGATCGACATCTTTACCTTCACCACGGAAATCAGATGGTAATTGATAAGCAACAGTAGTTTCTGACCAATTTTCCTTCGCAACTTCTGGGGCTAAATTGGCACCTGATAGAGCACCACATTCCATACCTAATTCTTGAGTGATATAAGCTGATAGCAATTGAACACCATTTGGACCAACTTCAAAACCTTTTAAGCATGAGATGGCTCTTACACTTGGTTGAACATGACCCTTCAGTTGTTTGACAATACGCGGTAGAAATTGATGAGGGATATTAAAAACTATAATATCAGCACCACGAACAGAATCGATTAAATCTGGGTTAGCTACCAAATTACCAGGTAAAGTAATACCTGGTAAATATTTAACATTTTCATGTTTTGTATTAATAATTTCAGTTAATTTTTTGCCATCAACCTTTTCTTCAAAAACCCACATTTGTACATCTTTAACAAACAATTGTGGATTTAAACAAGTATTTTCTGCGATAACTTTTGCAATCGTAGTACCCCAGTTACCAGAACCTATGACAGTGACTTTAAAAGGATGAACACTTAGTTTCAAAGCAGTGCCGGAACTGCTTCTGGATAAAGCTGAACCAGTCAAGTGAGAAGAAGTCTGATGCAAACGATCTACAGCAGCCATTGTCGAAAATTTTTGAATATTATAATGTTATACTATTTCTTTTTATTCCCCACTATTAAATATTACCAAAATACTTTCAGTCTCTATTTCATTCACCAGAAAATCAAAATATCACACCAACAGCGATTACCTTCCTTTTATATATGAATTTGATGAATCAAATTTAAGCAACTTAAACTAAATTTAAAACTGATTTATATTTACATTGCTGATGATGATGCTGATGATCTCCCCCCTCCAAGCAGACAATTTTATGTAGGACCCGCGAATCCAAGAATTCCGAACATCGGTTAGTTTGGTTTGCAGTGGACAGCAGTAAATGACAAACAGGAAGAGGAGGGGAACAATACTAAATTAAATAATATCAGAAGTAATGAGAGAGAAAAGTTGAAAATTGCAGTAACCAAGATTATAAACCTGACAAGAGCTAATATTGAAGTTGAAGTTTGAAATTGCCATTGGGAAAACACTTCTAAAGCCCGGAAGTGCGATTCTTTGTTGGATATTGTCATTTAAGGAAGTTTGTCTCTATGTCTCTATTTCTGTCGTCCTCTCTCCAATTAGAGGTTCTTGTCTTGTCTATTCTTGCCATAAAATTTTCAAAGATGTTGCCAGAGTCATCGTTGCCAGTATGTCTGGGTGAGTAATAAACTAAAATCAAAATCAAAGGTAAAAAAAGAATAATGCATTGAACCTTGTCAAAGCGTGTCTGGTTGTTGCTGTTGAGCAAGGGGAAAAACCACTGAAAGTAACTCGTTCATCATAGAGCTTGCCGAAATTAGAATGAACACTATGGAGGATAACAGTATGCATATCTCTTCCCATTCACCAAAGATGAAAATTTTTTCAACAGGCTGCTATTCGGCTAAACCTCCTATGGATAACTGGGCCAGTAGAGCATCACCGAGAAAGTAAGCAAGCACCAGCTAGCTTTATACAGAGAGAGGGTGCCCATATTAGAAGATGTTCTCCGGTTGCCCGTCTTTCCCCATTTTATACGAAGTTGGAAGCTCTATAACCCAAAAAGACGTGTTTTGAACCAAATCCAATTGGAATGGGCAGGCATCCAAGAGGGAGAGAGGGATAAACTAGCTTGTAAAAGAGTAAAAGAGTACACTTTCTATACTTTATATTGGAACTCTGTTACCCTTTCATTGGGCTTCCTCCAAAAGTTGTTGAGCTTGGTCCTTCAATAGTTGTCGTGTAATACGAAGTTCGATTGTTTCTTGTAAGGAAACCGAGTTCTGTGCTAGCGCTGCTGCATTTCGAGCTAACGTCTGCCAGTTACGCTGAAGCACATCGACTGTCTTTGGAGTTATCGTCAAGGTTGGACTGTTTTCTGGACTTGTGGTCATGTGATCGGTTTGTAGTGATAACAAATGATGTGCTATCACGTGACGTAATTTGTCGTTCTCTGCACGTTGAAGTGTTTTGGCAATACGCAGCACATGGGTTTCCTGTGGGTCGGCAGCTACGCCAGTGGTGTTAGTTCCAGTTGAGGTTGGTAATTTAGTAGAAGATTTTTGCAAAGCTGAAGTGTCCTTGGCAAGAGAATCACGCAATAAACGGTCTAAATGGCTACGCAGCTGCCATTGGGCGGTATAACTGGCTCCTGTATCCATGGCTTGGCTGATTGACGCTTCGCATACGTCAATTCTAACTCCTACATCAATACTTTCGTTGGTCAGAAACTCTATTAAAGGCTCATCGGCTTGTTGGGTTACTAGCTTCAATCCATGTATACAGTTTACTATGTCTACGTGAGAAACACTACGGTGTTGGTCTAACAACGTTAGCAAGGTAATCAGTCCGGCTTCCTCTTGTGCTCCTCTTCCTTGCGATAGTTCGTTGACTACATATTGGTACCCAACTGAAACTACTTCATCTACTGTCTCAGGTGTGATTCCGTCTTGGACTTCCATATACATGTCCTGGTCTGTTTGAGCTTCATTCTCAGCACCACTTTCGTCTCCACTAAATTCTCCTTCATTCACTGTAACTTCTGCTGCTGCTTTTGCCATTTCCAGTAGTTTGCTGACAACAGCTGTAACTTTCAGACTGTTGTCGTTGCCGCTAGCACCAGAGTCGGTCTCACTCTGGGCACAGTACGCTTCCAATAAGTTGAAGTACATATCCCACGAACATTCATAA